AAGGAGTATAGAGTAAGGGACTCAACATACAACCCTGTGGTGTACTAATGTTAAGAATAAGGGCTGGAGAGGTATGATTACCTAATCTGACCCTCTGTAAGCGGCCAGACAGGAAATCCATAATCCAAAGGCAGATTGAATTAGAAAGCCCAAGGTCCAGAAGTTTAGACACTAGTCTGTGTGGAAGAATTGTGTTAAACACAGAACTAAATTCCACAAAAAGCATCCTCGCATAGCCCTCCCCCCCTGCTGTTCTAGATGAGTCAGAGCAGTGTGAAGAGTGATGCCTATAGCGTCCTCTGTAGATCTATTTTTTTCTGTATGCAAACTGGTGTTTATCAAATGTATGCGGAAGACCAGAAATGATGTGCCGGCAGACCAATTTCTCAAAGCACTTCATGATGATAGGAGTACGTGCCACTGGTCTGTAATCACTGAGGTTATTGATAGGGAACTTCTTTGGCAGTGGAACAATGGTGGAAGCCTTCAAACAAGATGGAATAGTGGACTGGGATAAAGACCGATTGAAGATCTTGGTAAAGACTCCAGCCAACTGATCAGCACCGTCTTTAAGCACTTGGCCAGAGATACCGTCACAGCCCTCAGAATGCTCCTCCCCTCCTGTTCCTCCACAACGAGGTGGGGGCTACAATTGGCTGGTGGTTGTGTTTTATCTGCCCCTGATGTCTCCACTTCAAAGCGAGCAAAGAAATGATTTAGTTTCTCTGCCAATGAAACATCCACCACAGCAGGAATGACATTGGTCGGTTGATGGTTTGTAATTTGTTGAATCCCTCGCCACACCTGCCTGTTATTTCTATAATAATTATCCTCAATCTTCCTCTTATAATCAATCTTGGCTTTCCAAATACCTTCCTTCAGATTAGCTCTGGCAACACTATCTTGCCCATCACTGGACCTAAAGGTCCTGTCACGCAAGAGGCGCTGGACTTCCTTGGTCATCCAGGGTTTCTGATTGGGATAGATCCTAATATGTTTAGCCACAGTGATAGTGTCTGTGCAGTGTTTGATATAGCACAGAACAGTTGCACTGTGCACCTCTAGGTCAGGGTGGTAAAAGATGTCCCAATTTGTGTTCTCAAAACAGTCCTGAAGTTGTTAGGAAGCATCTTCTGGCCAAGATTTCACTGTCTTTATTATAGGTAGAGCCCGTCTCCTGGTCTGATTGTCCCAAATGTAATTGTATCATTTATATTTCCAGGATCTTCCCAGGTTTTGATATCAGGTTGATTGGTCTGTACTCTATAGTTTCTTGGATCAATTTTTCCCCTTTTTTGAAGGTGGGAATTACATCAGCTCTTTTCCAGTCCTCTGGTAGTTCCCTGGTGTTCCAGGAACTGTGAAATACGTGGTTTGGTGGTTCCAAGATCACAGCTGCCCATGCCTTCCGAACTCTAGGATGTAGTCCACCTGGTCCCGCAATTTCAACCTGTTCTAGACTGGATAGGTGTTGTCTGGACCATGTTGCCTATTTTGACTTCCTAATTTGTCTTTTACAGTTCTGCTTTTGGTAGCTTGGACTCTTTTTTCCTTTTATGTAAAGAAAAATGCAAAGAATGAATTAAGCAGTTCAACTTTCTCTCTGCTGCCTGTCATGTCCTGGCCATCTTCTCTTTGTAGCGGACCAATTGTTTCCTTTACTTTTTTTCTTCTTTTTTACATGTTGAAAGAAAGTTTTAAAAATTATTTTTTATATTTGTTGAAAGTCTTAGTTCATTCTGAGCTTTAGCTTTCTGACTTCATCTTTGCAGATTCAGTCCATCTTTCCATTTGTTTATACTTATCCTTTTTGTCATTCAGTTTATCAGATAGTTCAATATGCAACTGTACTGGTTACATCTGGATTTTTTTGTTTTTGAATGGTATTGTGCTAGATTAAGATTTTATAATCTCATTTTTCTAGAGTTTCCCAAGTTCCTGGAGAAGAGAGAGAGGGAGGGAGGGAGACGCACACACAGAGAGGTTGTTTTTTAAAGATGTAATATTTTAAAAAATGACCTTTGGTACTTAGAAAGTCAAAAATGATCTGTTGGAAAAAGTGATGTTGAGAAGGCAAAACCCAGAGATTCTGCATCCGTTTTCTCCCAGGAGGAAAATGAAACTGAGGAGAAGAGAGGTGGATGCTTAATACAGACGAGGAGGGTGAAAGAGAATTTAGCTAAAGGGAACTGATTTTGGTCTCCAAGGCAGAGGGGTTGTCTCCCAGAGGATGAGGCAAGGGGCTGCACTCCAGAGCCGGTCTGCTCCAATGTCCCACCTGAAGACACACAGGTGGGCAATGGAAGTGCCTCGATGTGCAGCCTCCATTGGGGCTGTCATGGCCATCGGGTGGCTCCAGCTGGTTTTCGGGTTTCCTGCGGGGCTGCCCTGTCCTGCCCAGATCTCTTCCCCTGCCCTCCGTTGTCTCCTGGCTGCAGTGGGCACTGGCAGCCTTTCCTTGCTTTGTAAACTATCATCCAATACATGTGCAGAACATGTGCTATACAGTGACACACACACACACACACACACCAGTTTCACAACTACAACTAAAAAAACTTGATTCTTTGGGTGCTATGTATGTTTTTTAGTGTTTTGTTTTTTTACCATGGGGTCAGCTTGTAAAGCTAGTAAACAGTGGAGCAAGAAGCCAAGGATGCATGAAACTCAAACGCTTTGCTGCCATCTCGTGAATGAATGATTGCCTTGAAAAATAAATTAAAAATGAAGGAATGATTGGGTTAAAAGTAAGGTAAAGACCAAAAATTAATGGTTAAATGGAGTTGATGAGAGGCTCTGAAAGATGACTAAGAAGTTTAAAGAACAAAATGAGTAAGAAGTTTAAAGCACAAAGCAGCATGGAAACTCTGTAGACATAAGGAAGGGCTAGAGAAGTAGAGAGGGATGGTGAATTGTGTTCATATAACCTGCATTTTGCAGGAGTTTATTTTCTCTCTTGCTTGTTACAGTTTCTCTATGCTTCACAAAACACCCTTATCCCGAAAGGAAATAGCATGATCAATATTTATGTCAGCAAAACCATTCAGGTGTTCCTGCATTCAATTCCCACACGGCTTCTGCTTGCATCATAAGAAAGCCCTGTGGTGGAAAAAGGACTTTTGTTTTCTCTTATTAAACTTTCCCTGATGAGAATTTGAATTCATAAGAAGAAGCCTGCACCGTTACCAACTCTTTCATTACAAAGCCTCTCTGGGACGTGTGTGTTTAATTTCATCCTTGTTGTTTTGAGAAGGTCATAATTAATTCCTTTGTGTGTTTCTACTAACCTTGTCTTCAGCTCCAGAAAATGTTACAGACAAACAGTTGTCCAGTTCTTTCTTGAAAACCTTCAGCAACGGAGCACCCACCACTCCAGGAGGCAGGCTGTTCCATGGATTGATTGTTCTCACAAATTATTCTCAAAAATAGTCTGAGCCATGTTCCTTAGACTGAAGTGGAGTGCCCAATGGACGAACATCTGGGCTGCCAGCAGTTTCTCATGAAATTGGAGAGATGCTATCCACAGCACTCCTGGGGGCTTTGTAATATTTTCATTTTGTCATTTTTATGAGGACTCACAAACAACATTGCAGGTGTTACCAAAGTGGGTTCGGTGTCAGACCTGGCTCCACTGAGGCGAGGCAAGCTCCCGAGAGACCCACGGACATGACGACTGAAGAAAGTGAAGCCGCCATAATCCAGACATCTCCCCCACAGTCATGTTTGGCAGAGTGGCCTTGAGATGGAAGCCGTCTTGCCGACTGGAAGATGGGATTGCTGACCTCCACGGGACAGGCTCCTTGGCTCCCATCCCTTTGATTTGGGGAATCCCTTGCCACGAGGTGAAATCATGGAGGTGCCCTTGGCCCTTTGGACAGTGTCATGGCCGCCATCTTGCCTTTCTTGTTGACCTCCTTCCTCCCGCCAGATGCTGCTGTGTGAAAAAGTCCCACCTTAGAAACAATGTACTTAAGTTAGAGAAATGAGCTATAAGCAAAATGTGAAATTTCCCTCAGTTTCTATCTTGTCATCGTGTCTGCATTATGCTCATTGAATCATGTTTACCACAGAATTTAAGCTCTTCTTGGGTTTTTTAATTCTCATGTTCTGAACATGAGGGTTTACCACAACAAAGGCCAGTATTTCTTTGTTTTGGTTTTTCACGGAGCATGTTTAGAGGACTAATTTCAGTAACACGCCTAGTTTCTGTAGTGCACAGGTCTTACTTGAGATTGTGACTTCAGAATTCCACCCCCCGACCCGCCACCCCAATCATCCTGTCTGCTTGTCTTCCCCAAACGCTCACAATCTGCTTCATCTGTACCAGGGGTGGAATTCAGTTTTTTTAACAACAGGTTCTGTAAGCGTGGCTTAGTTGGTGGGTGTGGCTTGGTGGTCATGTGACTGGGTGGGCGTGGCCAACTCGACATCACTCATGTCAAGGGATGCTTCTCGCCTGGCCTCTCATGACAGTGGGGATGCTGCAACGGTCATAGGTTTGAAAAATGGTCATAAGTCATTTTTTCAGTGCCACTGTAACTTTGAATTGTCACTAAATGAACTGTTGTAAGTCAAGGATTATGTGTACAAAAGTACAAAAAGCTTCTTTGTTTGCAAAAAGCTGCCCTAAATACCAGTCATTATATTAAAAATACCTGCAACCCAGAGTTACAAATCAGGCAGAGTGCCAGAGCACCTTGAGGAATGGAAATAGTTGAAATGCAGTGATAACTATCAAGCAGCCATTTCTTGCTCATAAAGTGAAACCCTTTAGCAGAGAGGTCATTTAAGCTCTCCAGAAAGAGCACACCCAGGAGAAGAAATCCTTAGATCCATTTGCACCACTTAAAGATACCAGCTGGTCTCACTCACCTCACAAAATAACCTAAGGAAATCATCCAGATTTAAGGAAAGGTCATATGCCCCCCAGAAAGGCTGTAAAAAAAATCAGTGCCAAGCTTGCATCCTGCCTCTTGGAAGTATACCCCAAAAGGTTAGTGCCAGATAGTACTAAAGCAGTAAAGGAAGACCCCCTCCCAGATAGAAAAAGAAACCATGAGGCAGGAAAAAATTCAAACACAATACAAATAATTAAATCACAACAGTAGCTGTTCCTTGTTGAACCTGAATACGGAAAATTATCCCATCAATAAACACAGGATTGGGACTTCCAGTTTGTTCCTTGTCGGAGTCGGAGTGGAAACTACGATCATGTGCTGTTTTGCCCGAGCTCACTTGCTGCAGGGTCCTGATTGGGACCAGAACCACCCTGCTGGGGAAACCGCTTGGAGGGTTGAGGGGAGTTGCAACTCACCTCCCTGACAGGAAGATCCCTCCCAAAGGCAAGCTGCAGTGGTGGTCCTATAATGGCCAGCACGAAGACAAAGAACACTCAGGGAAACTAGGTTTTGTGCTGGAGCAGAGAAGTAGTGAGCAGAGTGTGAACCAGGCAAAGGACATCGCTTTTGAGGTACCCCAGTATTAAAATAAAGGGCTATCTTGGAGGGAAGTATGTGGAAGCGGTGCCAGAGAAAGTAAGAAAGATATTGGATCCTATAAAACTTGGATTGGATTAATTTGGAGGAGAAAATTTAAAGGAAAATACTTTAATACAACAAAGGTTTAGAAATTAAACTGGATAACTATTGAATTATGGACACTTAAAGGGCATAATTAAATGCTGAAATTGAGTGTGTTGAAAAGAAAAGAAATAATAGCTAATGATTGAAATTAGCGAACTTAATAAAAGTATTATATTCATTAAAGAAAGTTAAAGGTAAAAATAAGAACACCACCTGATGGTACAGGAAAACTTCAGTACGTTTTAAAAAGTGTCTGGTCTTCTCAAGAGTTTGGATTTTGGAACTTAAAAGAAAATAAAGCAAACTTTATTATTGTTATAGAACCATCCGAACAAAGACTCAAGAGTTTGGATTGTTGAAAATAAATTCAAAAGATATTGGCTGAAATAATATACTGGACTCTGGGATTGAATATATCTATTAAAGAAGAGGATTTTAACTATTAAGGAAGAGGAAAGAAAAGGAAAAAAAGGAGAAGATATAATGGAGAAACTATTTGTTGATATAAGATTGGATTTACAAGAGTAAAGATTGAATTTGCAAGATATAAGGGACATGATAAAAATTAAACTTGAAATGTGCAATTATGTACTACAGAAATTAGAAATGGTGACTCAGCATACACAAGAACAAAATAAACCAGAGGGGAGGAGTTCTATAAAGAAGAAGTCAACATTGAAGGACAAAACGAACAACAATTATTTAAGCAGGGGGGGAAAGGAATTAGAATTAAAAATTTGGGGTCTGATGGGATGATGAAAGAGAAAATGGATAAAGGAAGAGGGAAAAAGCAGAAAAAGGAAGGGGAAAAGAAAAATCAAAAGAGGGAGAGAGAAAAGTTTAATAACTGGAATGAGAAATGGAGGGGAATAAGAATGGGAAAAAAGAGAATTAAGAGAAAGGACCAGAAAACAAAGAGAAATAGGAAACAAACAAGGATGAAAAGAAAGTACATTGTCCAAAGAGTGAGAGATAATGGGTGAAAAAAAAAGGATAAGGAAGGAGATTCTGCAAGGTAATCTGTTGTGATATATAAGACTATATTGAAAATAGTATTTTGTAATGTATAGATGATACATAAGGTGTTTGAGAAAGTATAATGAAGAATATGAGAAAAACATATATATTTGTGTTATATACTAGATAGGGAGATTGATATTAAGGTAGAATGAAAGTGGTTAGCTTGAATTATTAACCAGAGGAGACAATTATATTTACAGATAAGGATTGATAAAATGACAAATGTGACAAAAAAGTAATATGAGAAATGACAACAGAAATGAGATGAGAATTTTAGATATTGTAAAATAAGACATGAGAATGTATTAATATAACATGAATTGGAATTGGATAAGATAAGCTTAATATTTAACAATAATAAGGATGATGCAATATGAAACTAAACAAATACAATGAACAGGTAACTATGGTCATGTTTATATTGAGATGTGAAACCTGGAACCACACTGCTTGACAAATGAGAATATTTTATTTTAGAAAATAAAATAAAAGCAGGGAGAAAATTGAATAATGGAATTACTAGGCATGTTTAACTGATATGGTGGTAGGCATTTGGAGAGAGTTTTGAAAGACTGAAAGTAAGCATTGAAGGATTATGAATTAATGTGAAATATATGCATTGAGAGATACGATTGGTATTATTAATTTTGCCTAAACTAAAACGTATGAGATATTGATGCCACACTGTTAATGTATTGTTGTGCATATGCAGATTGAAATAAAAAATATTTTGGGGGAAAAAATAAACACAGGATGAAATGTCACCAAGTACAGAATTAACCTTCACCAAAAACCAGTTTTAGACCAAAACTCAGAAAGGGTATGTAAGCTCATGTTTGCTAGCCAAGAAGCCTTGGTGAATGTCACTCATCTTGGTTCCCTGTCACTAAAAGCTTTGCTTCATTATTCAATTATTTCTTCAAAGTGCTGATTGTCCAGGGAAGTATTTCCTCCCAACAGCAGTGTAAAAATCTTAAAACAACCCTTCCCCTTTAAGAAAGTCAAGCCCCAGAAGCTCCGGAGACAGGAAGTCTAGGCGTACTAGCAAGAATGTAATAAGGGTGGAAAAAACAAAAGGAGATTGCTTCTAAGTACCAGTTCTCCGAACTGCTTAGAAAGTTAACAAGGGGTTCTATAGAACCGGACAGAACCAGTAGAATCCCACCCCTGATCTATACGAGCCTGAAAACTGCCTCTGGCTTCTGGTGGTGCAGCTATGCCACTGGTTTCTGGTTTCTGCACATGGAAAGTTGCTTCCACTCACTGCCATGAATGGGAATCTCCAGGGTCCCTTTTTACCACCTGTCCACCTGCTCTTCACTCCTCGCAACCGTTTCCTTCAAGGATCGTTTTCAACGCCTCTCACTTGTTGCAAAAGTAGACCAGGTGGTTTCCAAGAAGAAAGCATTGCATGTCACAACTGCAGACTTTGGTCCAAGGAATTAATAAAAAATAAGCTTTTAATTTATTTTTAAAAATTGTAATATCAATGTTACTTCCATGTGCTATATTTTAGTAAGTGTAAGCCACCAGGGGACCTATCTGTGAAATATTTTAGGAATTGTTAGCAGTTAAAAATCTGGCATGAGACTTGTTGCAGAAGCAGAGTGAAATGGGGTTTACTGATTAATTGCAATTAAATGGCTGAGATTTTGTACTGTAGTCACAGAGACTTTGCCTTGTTCAAACCCTCCACGGGACTATTTTGTCCGTCCTCTGCAGGAACAGCCCTTGAAGAAGCAGCTCCTTGCCAAGCCCTTGATACGAGGGGCTTGATTCTTAAGGTTGAGCACCCTCCCATTGTGCCGGGTGACGGTTCCTGTGTTTTCCATGAAGGCAGCATTCTCTACAGCATGGGCGCCGAAGAGCTTACTCTGGCCTGTGCCTTGGCACCCCCAGTGGACAAAGGTAGACAGCAGTTGCGCGTGTGGGTAAACTTCCTAAGGGAGGCTGTGCACACACAACATCCAAAAAGAAATGTGGAAATCTCCCCAGCAAGATGTCACTCTAAAATCTCATGCATGGACTTGCTGGTCGTTATGCTATGAGTCCAATCTGAGAAAAGGTCAAATGATCATGAGGACGGCAGGGCCTCCTATTTCCCCAGACACATTGCAGGGATGATTCCAGGCATTCGGTACTAATGATATCTTCAGTTATTGCCCCCTTTTTCTTCCCAAACCGAAGCAGCTCCGCCTTCCCTCAAGGGAGAGAAACTGATTATCCAGTGCAAAACCGGAAATTGGGATCCCACTTGTGCCCCTGTCCTTAGAGCATGCAGACTGGAATAGCAGCTCACCTGGGCCTGGGTTATGCTGAGTGAAGGAAGTCCCCATCCCTGCTCCAGGAGAGGAGGAAGGATGCCACGGGCTTCATTCCCAACAAAGGCTGAAAGGTTGAAGAAGGCAGAGTTGGCTAGAAAGGCAGGAGCAGAGGGTCACAGTCTCTTTCCTCTTGCAGATGTCGTTTTTCTGAGCTTCCCATTAACTCAAGAAGAAATTTTTTATGCCCAGAAGTGCCACAGTTTCCTCACGGATGTCATCTTGGATTCTATAAGACAGAAGGATCCCAAAGAAACCACTGCCAAAGTAGAGCTCCTGGTCCGGAGGTTGTGGGTAAGGAGGGATCTGCTGCTTCCAGCCCAGAGATGCTTTTGCTAGGGTGGCGAGCCAGCGTTGCCCCTTCCGGCATGCCAGCCGCTCCTTCCAAAGGGCTCTTTCAGGCCATTAGGGCTTGCAAAGCAGGGAGCATCAGGTTCTGGCTCTGGAGTTTGTATAGCCTCGTTTCTTACAGCGCCTGCAGATGACGGCGAAGGAGTTTGTGGCTGAGCTCCTGAATTCAGCACCCTTTCAAGCTGATGGCTATTCTTATGAGAAGTTGCTGAAGTGGATTGAAGTAAGTGCAAAGGATAGTTGGGCTTCCGTCCCCGAGGGAAAGTTTGCCTGTTTCGTGGCCTCCCACTCACAGGGGACAGATAAATGCACACTTGCAGCGCAGGCCTTGCTTTCCTTATGAGACCCCTCCTCTCCTTTCCCGAGAACAGCCACATGAGGCATGCCCAGGTTGGACAGGGCAGGGGTGGGATTCTACCAGTTCGGCCCAGTTCAGGAAAACCGGTAGTTGTGAAGATCAGCTGGGAGCTAACCAGTTCGGTCCAAAGATCAGGATATTTCCTTCTTTTTTTCCCACCAATCAGCTGTTTTCCAAGGATCGGTTGTGCCGCACGATTTAGAATCTTCGGATTTCTTGCTTTTTTTCTAGCTAATCTAAGTCACACGGCACAGCTGATCCCCCCCCCCCCCGCTGTTGCACTGCTCCACCCAGGTGGCTTCCCTGAGGCCCAGGAGGCAAAAAACGGGGTGCAGGAGGGTGCTGTGCCTCCCCATACCCCATTTTTGCTCCCAGGAGGCTTACCTGAGGCCCAGTGGGGGGGGGGGTGAACCACGCTAACCTAGTCACATGATCACCTGGCCACGCCCACCTAGCCACGCCCACAGAACCGGTAGTTAAAAATTTTGCATCCCCTCCTTGGACACGAGTTCAAGCAAGGCAGCTCCAAATGCCACCCACCCACCCTCACCCCATGGGCAACCCAGAGTTCACCCAAGTGTAATTCGTGTAATAAGACTGGGGCCGGGTGAGGGGCTTCTCTCCCCACTGTGAGTTGTGTTGGGGGTGTGTGTGTGTGCACGAAGGGAGGCTCAGCCAATCCCATTGTACACATGTTGTACTCTGACAATAAAGGTAATAGTAATAGTAAGATGTGGCAGTAAAATGGCAGTTTTGGTGGTGGGCTTTTGCTTGGATGAGCCTGCATCTGGAAAGCAAACCACTGCGATTCTTGACACCTCCCCCTGAAAAGAGAATGAAACGGGGGGGGGGGCATTTCAACTGTCCCCCCAGGAGGCCATTTGTGCAGTTGTGGCCAAGGCTGAGATGTGGCCTTTGACCCAGCAGAAATTGCTAGTGAGCATCTCTGTTTCCTTTCAGTTCAGCCTGCCTTTTGCCTGGAAATACAGCTGCTGCATTAACTCGCTTATTAAAAAAGGATACTTTAAATCACTCTCACATTTTGTTATTGGAAAATATTTACAGAACCCTTAATAAAACGGAAGTCTTTTGCTGCAGTTTGTTAGAAGTTTCTTTTTCATTTTGAAATTAACCTGGTAAAATTAAAATGCATGCATCCATAAAATCCATGTATAAATCCATACAATGAGATTGGAGGACCCCTGCTCTGGCTGTTTCCATCTGAGAGGTTTCCGAGTTCTCTGAAAGTCGGGTCAGAAGATCCGTTGATGCCGTGTGCCAGGATCCGGTTGGAGGCAAGCCAGAGAGAGGGCCCCAGGGGTCCTACAGTGGGACAATGGGGGGTGAGGGGGACCGACCAAGTAGGGCTTCTTCAGTTGCTGGTTCCTACAAAACAGGCTTGTCCCTTCTGAGCCAGCGACCCAGGTCTGGAGTCCAGGTGGCCACATTGCCGGATGCCTCAGTTCCCTCCTCCTGTGCTCTGTGGGGGCGGACAGGTGTGGACAACCTGGCACGCACGGAGACCTGGTTGAATCGTGGCCTGGATGCATGAGAAACCAGCTTAGCTACCTTTCAGGTCCTTCAGTAGCAGCAAGCCATGGCCGGGGGGGGGGGGGGGTGGCACTTGAGACTTCTGCAAGGCAGGGGACAGGGGCCACTCTCCTGCATGGGGCAGCTGCCCTCCCCCCCCTCGCTTGCCCTTGGATACCATGCAGTGGCAGTGAATGGGAGGGGGGCTGCTTGGGGGAAAGCGAAAGTGACTGCTGCTTGGGGAGAGCTCCCCCCCGCCCCCCTTGGCTGTATCTCCCCAGAACTTTTCAAGGCCACCCGGTTGGGAGAAGGTGGCAGCTGCATACCAGCCTACCTGTGAATGACCCTTCTCAAAGCATCTTGCTGGAACCTGATTGGTCGGGAGGGTGAGGAGGGCAGTGATGGGAGGGAAATGTTGAACTTGGGGGTTTGGGGCATGCAATTCTCCATGCTGGCTATGCAAGGCCTAAAACCACACCTTCCTCAGCAAATGAAGCCGAGGATCCTTTCCGTTGAGGTCTAAGTTGCAGCAGGTGCCATGAATGGACGGGGCCCAGAAAGACACACTGAAGCTGCAGCCGGGGCTGTTCTGCGGTGGTCCTCCATTAGCTCCTGGATATCCTCCCGGGGCTCATTGTGGGATTTGTTATACTTTAGTCTTAAGTCACTGACAGATCCAGGCGTCAAGAAGGGTGCCTGGGAATTTTCCTGACAATGGGACAGGCAGTTCCATCTTGTACTGGGCTGAACTTGGGAGACCATTTGTCAGTTTCCTTTTTTTGAGTGGTGGGGTCCGGAACTGCACAGGATTATTGCAAATGAACCAGGGGGATAGTTTTTTTTTTCCCCTTTGTGAATCGTGTTAAACAGCACAGGGCCAAGGGCAGAGCGATGTGGCACTCTACTGGTGTCTCCTTCCCAGCTGAACTGAAGCAGGGAACAGGCACTATTGGGGGCCACCTGGGAGCCCAACTGGGAATTTAGACCCTACCAAGCAAGAAGCAGCTCAAGTTAATCTGGCACATTTTTTTAGCGAGGTGTCCATGCTGGTTCCTACCGATTCCAACATGCTTAACCGAGTGCTCACAAATGTGCCAAGGAATTGTTTGAAGACCTTTGTGGAGTACAGAAATCAAGTTCCTGGCCCTGTAGTTTCCCAGGCCCTCCCTTCACCTGCTTTTTTTTTGGTGGGGGGGTGGGGTGAGGTGAGCTGTTCTCCAGCCTTGCAGGCCCTTCTCCAGGACTGTCCCAAGCTGATGAGCAACTGCGGGAGACAAACTTCTTATCATATGGAAGAATCAGAGTAATCAGTATTGGGTGCTCCAACTGGGCATATCCAGCTGTCTACATCAGTCCAAGGCTGTTCTGAGTTGGATCATGCAGCTGAAACCACTGCTCAGATATTCATTTAATCCTCCACAGAGGACTTCAGCAGCCAGCTCTCTCCTCCTGTCCCCAGTGGCACAACCACAATCAGCCACCGCTTCATTTTCCTCACTGGGAAAACCGGGGGCAGAATCCCTGGGTTCTGCCTTCTCAACATCACCTCTCTCCACTTCCAGCAGACTTGCGCTGTCTTTGACCTTCTAACATACCGAAGGTCATTTTTTAGAATACCACATTTTTAAAATTTGCTTTTGTTAACCATCTTATTTTGAGCTTTATTTTTTCAGCTAGTTCCTTCAATTTTTAGGGACTCCCTGTATTATTCTTCCTCTTCCTTGTTCCATCTGTTCAACATTTGCGAGAGCTTTGCCTCATGCTGGCCTCTTTAGATTTCTCCCATTTTATTTCTTGTGAACATTATTTTCAGCTTCATGTTTTATGAGATTTCTCAACCTTTGAGGACATTCTTCCCAAGAACATAAAGCCCGTTTCTGTTTGCCTATCATCTCAAATGCCCCAAAACATCCTTGGGGAAGTAACTGAATGGTGGATGGAAGAAGGAGGGGTTGTAAAAAATGTGTGGTGCATATTTTTTGCCTATGATTGAGCATGTTGTAGGGCATGGTACTTTTAAAATCCTCAGAGTTATTCATCAGCCCCCGTTTGAGAGGACTTGCATCGCTCCCTTGTATGATTTAGTACAGGTCTTGGTCTGTGAATTTCCATTTGCACATAAGCCCCCTCAGTGGATTCTCTGGCACACACCCTGGAGCCCATCCTCCTGATGAAGGGAGCCGAGGCCCTGTGGACCGAAGACAGCTGGGACATCTTTCTCCATCTTGTGGGGTTACAAGTCTGGCCCGGTGGAGATGAACTACTTTATCCCATGCAGCATCTATCTGGGTGTCATGAAGACTGTAATGGTCTTATTTTCAATTTTTCATTTTTTTTTCAATTTTTTTAAAAAGTTCTTTTCACAATTTTTAAAAATGTGTTCATTTTTTTTTTCAGTAAAAAATATTTTTTTTATTTTAATTCTTTAGAAATTTTTAAATTCTTAATGATCTAAAAGGAAAAAAATAAAGATCATGAAAAAAGATACTTCCAAACAAGGAGGACAGTGATGAAGAAGAGCAACTAAGATGGTAAGGCCTGCAGTCTAAAATATATCAAGTATGGTGGCAGGATTTGGGTACGGCCAGTCTAGGGAAAAGGGGGACTAGGGGTGACATAACAGCAGCATTCCGGTATTTGAGGGGCTGCCACAAAGAAGAAAGCCGGGGGGGGGGGCGGGGGGAACGACTTCCTAACAGGGAGGACAATTAAGCAGTGGAACAAACTTGCCTTCAGAAGTTATGGAGGTTTTTCAGAAGAGCCTGGACAGCCACTCGTCTGACATGGTTATAGGGCCGTGATGGCAAACCTACAGCACGCAGGCTGGAAGTGCCACACAGAGCCATTTCTGCCAGAGGTCACCGGAACAGACCCACTGTGCGTGCCAGTCAGCCAATTGCCGGGTATCTGCTGCGTATGCGCAGGGGGAGACGCGTGCGTGCATGTGCAGTGGGGGGGGGGGGGGTTGTGCCTGAATTGCATTATGGGTGCACGCATGCACTTTCAGCACGTGACGAGAAAAAGATTAGCCATCACTGGTATAGGGCCTTCTGCTACAGCAGGGGGTTGGACTAGAAGACCTCTTAGGTACCTTCCGCCTCTACTCTGATTCTAATCTAAGCAATAAACATGCAGCCAAACAACTGGAAGGAACAACTTTTTATTGAGATTTAAAAATAACATTGGTGGCAACTACTTTGTTTCCAGCAGTAACAATAATTAAAGAACAACCAAAATCAAGGAGTCCCAGAAATATGTGAGATGCTGTGTTCCTGCCAAATTTAGTCTAAGCTTTCTTCCGTTTTTTGTAAGTTCTATAAAAGCCAATAATAGATTAAGGAAAAAATATTTCTGATGTTCCTAAATCCTGTACAGAGGCGTTTTGTATTGCACCAAACAGCTGTAATATCTGTTCTTAGAAAGTGAAAATGTTAATTCTTAAATAACTGTATAAAAGAAAAGCCATATTTATAGATTGTGAATGGAACAAAGATGTGACTAACATAAAGACAGGAGGTGCACGGAAAGGAGGGGCTCCAGCGGCCATCTCTAGTTGTCTCCCCGAGTTCTGTACACTCAACAAACAACCTAACACTGTGAAACTTGCTTCTAAAATCCTTCGTGGGCATCAACTGAACTCAAAAAACCCAGCTCAACAGGCTGAAAGGTCCAAGTCAGAGGTGCCTTTATTGTGAACGAGAGGATCAGAGAAAACTCCCAAAGGGGCAGAGTCAGAGAAACGGGAGAAACCAATGAACCTTCCTTCAGGTGGAGAATGGAGACCTTGTCCTGCCAAGCAGAACCACGCAGGGCTGCTATTTTTACCTCGCGGGAAGGCAGGTGGGGTGACCTGGCACTTAGCTTTCTGTGGTACTTGCTTTCAAAATCATCCGTAACCACCAGGCAAGAAAGCAAGCCGGATTACAAGGTTTAAGGTTCTTGCAGAAATAACGACATCTGGGTTTTCTTCCCTTCTGCATTAATTATACAATTACTGAAAATCTGGTGTGAACTAAACCTGCCGGCAGCAAGCACTCAGGCCCTTCCCCCACCCCGCCGCCACTCCAGTTGGCCTTTGGGTCCACCCCTTGAGCCCCCAACCGGCCTTTCTCAGCCACTGCCGCTTCCCTGGGCCCTCAGCTCTCAGGCTGCCGGAAGAGGCGGCCCGGCCCTGCGTCCCTCCTGCAGAGCTTGTCGGGAGGATAAGGGCCCATCTGTGTCCTGCGGTCTTCTGACGGCGTTCAAACCTGCAAGACAGCAGCATGCGGGAGATGCACCGGGAGACTCCTGGGCTGCCCCAGCCACCCGGTCCCTGAGGGCGCAAGCCTACTCAGCCCACCAGGAGCCAGCAGGTGGCCTGCAGAGACCATCCTCACCCTATGCCCTGCAGCAGCCACGGGGGCAGGACTCTCGGGAGGGGGGCCTCGGCCTGGCCTGCCCAGCACCATTTATCTGCTTACCGCTGAAACATACTGGTTGCTGGGGAAACCGCCTTTCTCCGTATCTGTGCAGGTGAAGGAGAATTCGTCTGCTGCTGGAGGGAGGGGGGAACTCCGGTCCTCACCCAAGTTGTGAAGGCAGCTGTCAGAACTGCTGGAGCCGCTTCCAGGCAGGCCCTGGGAAGACTCGGAGCTCTCGGTGGCTACAGGGAAAGAAGAAAACTCCGGGCACCTTGAGAAGAGACAACCCTGGTGCTGAAGGGGAGAAGGGCTTCTTCTCCTGCCGCCCCCCCCCCCCACCCCACCCACGTCCTCAGCCCCTTTCCTACCTGCCCCCCGCCCTGCCCAGAGGGGCTCCATCCTTGCTCTCTTAAACGGAACTGCACTGAGCAGCTGCGGGGCTGCTGGAAGGAGAAACGGCTCAGCCTTTGCGCCACCAAAATGGATCGGTGTGGCCTCCGCCGTGGCCGGCTGCTGCTGCTGCTGCTTTCCTCCAGGATCATTTACCAGCCAGTCAGAAAAGCAGGAGTCACCCCGGGCTCAGGGTTCGAATCTACTTCCCATTTCCCTCCACTGGGAACACTCCATGTTTATTCCTAGGCTGTTTCGGTTCTTAGCCAAGCTTAAAAGGAAGCAATCTCACGCCACGGTTGCAAGATTGCCTTTGGGCAATGGGTCAATTGCCAACCAGGCAGCACCAGTCTGACCCGTGTGGCTTCCGACTTCCTCGTCCCTCGTGAAATCTCTGCTGATCTTCCTTTAGCCAGGCTTCCTCCTCTACGCCCCTGGTGCCCCTCTGGTGAGTCGGGGTGGGAGGTGGGAGCAAATGAGCTCTCCTGCTAGGAACGAGCGCTGCAGACAAGGGCTGCCCAGTCACACTGCTGGCACCTCACACTTCCCAGAAAAGTAACGGGTGCACCAAACAGGCACACGGTTGTCTTGCTCCAAGTCAAACTAAGCGCCAGGTGTTTGGTATCAATTCTGCCTGAGGGTCTCGATAACCTTCCTGCCACAGCCCTGGGCTTGGAAGACCCTTGGATCCTGCTCTAGCTGCCTGAAGGGCCTGAGGAAGCAGCTCACCCAGAAGCCGGCCCAGGGCTTGTGTCACCCGGGGAGGAGAGGGGGGTGCTAAATGGACCAGAACGTTTGTCCTTCCACCATGACATGAAACTAGACCCTGGGACACACAAGGTTAGGTGAACATCTATGAACCCATGTTGAGGGTTGAGCCCAAGGCCAGCTACGGAGTCACCCAGTATCCCTTTCCTGCTGCTTTGGGAAGCGGCTGCTTGGAGAAGGTGCTCAGGGAGGTTGTGGCTTCCCAGGCAGAGACTGGGAACTGAGCTGCTTTGCTCCAGAGGGGGCTGGGGGGGCCGTGGCCGCTCCTGTTCCTTTGCAGGGTTCGGCTGACCGAGGAGAGATGCTCCAGGAAATCTCCTGGTGGGCCGTCCTTCCTGAGATGGTGCCAGGGCAGAATGGACTTACTCATAGAGGGCTGGCTGCTTGTCTCATTCTCCATCTCATCTTCCCCAGCCCGTAAAGGAAGGTTGGTGGGCAGCACTGTAGGCAGCAAGGTCTGATCCAGGTACATGTGCAGGTTGAGAGGTGCAATCCCCGAGCAAGAGGATCGGCTGCCGGCGGACAGAGTGGTCGGAGATCTCTTGAAAGGGTTGGCATGGTCGAAGAGAGACACCGCGATGGAAGCCCGGGTCCTGGCGCCTGCCACAAAGAGAGGAATTCGTCACGGAGACCAGGGCCCTCTTGGACGGCCAAAGGGCGCCTCGGGAGGAGCACGCGGGGGAGGGGCTCACCTCTGCCTTTCATCATGTAATTGATGGCTCGGTCGTGGATGGCAGCCTCGCTAGGCTTGATGTCCAGGAAAGGCTTGTTCCCAATCCCCATGGACAACATCTCCTGCAGGCGCACTTCTGGGGAGGAGGAATGGCGGCCATTCAGAAGCGCCATGTGCCCCCCACCCCCGCAAAAAACCAGGCATTGTCTTCCCCCACTCCATCACAATCCTTCCAGGAGTGCAGCCTCCCTCCAAATTCTCCAATTCTTCTAATTTTGCTCCTCCACTGGAACACAACACGCAACTATCCCCAATCTATGGATTTCCTACACACCCAGAGCCACCTCTATGACAGCAGTGAATCTTCCCTTAGTCTGTGAGAATGGAGAATTCTGCTCTCCTGCCCTGTGGGAAAGGAAGCTGAAGCGGCCTTGGAAGTTATTGGGCAGCGAGGCCCAAGTGAAGCAGGCAGAAAAGGGGGAAGGGGCTGCCTGGGGCTGCAGAAGAGACGCAGGTCCCAGGGGATCCAAGGCTGCCACGGAAAAGAGAAGGAAGCAGGAGGCGTGGATAACATCGGTCAACTAAGAGCCTACTTCTAGATGATCTGAACGCACCAGAAGGAAGGTGGAAGTTGCAGAAGGCCTGGGAGTTTGGCAGGCCTTAATTAGGGGAATTTAGCAACAGCTACACACCCCTAGCTATACTTTTGGATAGCTACACAGCCGCATTATCAAAAGCAGTACTATTACCAGCATGGGGATAATTAAGCCAAGAAACGGGAGAACAATTAGATGACTAGCCAGGTGCCAAGAGCATCTCTGGATAGAGCCAGCACTTTGCTGATGGCCACCTGTATCATTAACAGGCTAAAATAGTTAATTTCACAGAGGAATTAATGTCGGTCTCTCCTTGATATACACACAATATCCAGAAAAAAAGGCAAAATAAAGAAAACAAAGCCAACGCAAAGCTCTGCCTTGTCTGATCAAGCTTGAGAGCTCAGGACGGGGGTGGGGGGGGTGGCGGCTCGATGGGATGAAGACTGATTTTTGAGGAAAGGAGACTCGGGTTGAGGTTCCTGATCAAATGAACAGGCCCTGGGGGCAGAAGTTAATCCCACAGCACACCCCCAAGCAGTTAGCTGAAGGCAACCACAAAAGTTTGGCAAAGATTCCAGAGAAGCAATTCCAAAGAGATCCAAAAGGAAAGTCAGGTGAACTAGTGCACCAATAAGTCAAATGGCGCTTTCGTTTATAACTACACCTTCCCTTCCAGGTAGGATCTCATCAACAGCCATTCACATAATCAGACCACCTTCATTCCGCTCTACGACCCCCCCGTCCTCTTTTGTTTCAGTTCCAGGTGGATCTATAGGCATCGTTAGCAGTCTAGCCTAGATGTAGCCCAGCTCACCAGCCTTGCCTGTGCAACGCATCCCCCATGAAAGGGAGGCACGCCAGAAACGGGAGTTACGGAGCACAGGTGGGCGCAAAAGCAGCAGCAGGAACAATTTCTGGCTCCTCGCTAACTCTGTACGGGGAAAGCGGCTAGGGAACGTTGGAGAGCACATCGCTCACTGCGACATCCGCTGAGAGCAGCCAGAACTCCAAGGAATGGTCAGTGCTGTTCCCCGAGGACTTGTCCAGCCATGAAATCGTATTTCTATATAATGTTTCCTGTTTATTCCCCATGAAAAAACTGCCCCCCCCCCAAAGATCAGCTCAATACTAGATGCCTCTCCCATCCTGCACGCTCCTCCTGGCCCTGGTCTCGCCGTCTTTCCCAGTATCGCCTCCTGTGAAAACCGTTCCAGGCTCTTCCACAAGTCAGAGAACCACCTGCAGAGGCTTTGCTAGCAGTCCTGGGGATGTCGAAGCACGACAAGGGCAGCACCGGTGCCTTCACCGGAAGAGGAGAACCTGGAGGCAGACTCCCTCCTTTTGGGACGAGAAGCTCCGCTTTCACCTGGCCAAGGCACAGGCCACCCAGCCCCTGCCCCCAGGACCTTACTTAGGGGAGCCCCCTCCACTCCCTAGGGCTCTTCTCACGAGCCCCCCTCGTCGGAAACCAGGTGGAGGAGCCGTGTGGGGACTGGCCTTTGTTGCGGGCAGCTTGTTCCCAGAGGATCCTGGTGATGTCACTTGTCCAGGCCTGCTTGGCCTCCGGGCTGCTGGCTTGCAGGACGTAGGTGTCCCTGGAGGTCCACCTTCTGAACCAGATCTCGAAGCACAGGCCGCTCTCCCCCGAGTTCTCCGTTAGGCCGATTTCTGCCATCTGCCGGGATGAAGAGGAGAGCCCATCATGCACGATGCAGCGGAGGCTGCCTGTGGGGCCAAGGGGCAACTTCCACGGGGGACGAGGAACAGAACTGAGGCCATGTGGTCTGGGAGGCGACCCCTGCCTTGATCCCCTCAGCAGGCCTGACAGGCTGGACACTGAGCCGCTAAGTGCGCTCTGAGAAAGTCAGCTCCAGCCCACTTGGGGAGGTGGAACATCTTTCCCTCCAAAGGCCACAAAGTGTGACGATCCATCTAGAAAATGGCAGAAAAGCTGCGCGCGGGACATGACCCTGCACACCCGGGGGCAAGACAGTGTGTCTTCCCTGGTGAGGCAAGCACGAGGGGCTGGAGACCAGACCCCCTGGAGAAGTCCTTCCCTTAAAGGAACGCTTGTAGAGGTAGGCATCCGGGGCGCCCTCAACTCGCTTAGGCTTGCTGAAGAGGATCAGATCTTCAAAGAGGAAGACGTGGCGCTGGTACTTCCTTCGGCCCAGGGAAATGCTAAACCCGTCCTGGCGCACCAGCTGTCCCTGCTCTTTGAGGTTCACCTAGGCAGAGGAGCCAGGAAGTCCATTATTCTTGGGGACCCCCAGAAGAAGGCAGGTCCCCAAAGATGCCCCTGAAGACGAGCAAGGTGAAACCCAGCCTCTTCCCCTTCCCAGAGCGCCTCACAAGCCCAATTCCACATGCCGGTGAGGGACGGCCTTGGCGGGACTGCCGCTGCCAACAGCTCCCCACTGGAGCGGGGAACTTGTGGAGACCGAAGCCTGGCACCCGCTGGCTTCCCCGCTTCTGGGCCAATACATACGTCACAGTTGCGGAGAGCATCCATGGCCAGGAGGTCGTTGCCATGCTGCAGCTGGAAGCGCACCATCTGCTCCGCCGCCCGCAGGTAGGCCAGCTCCTGCTCTTGGGCCTCCCCGCCCGCCTTGATGAGGTCTCTGAGGAGCAGGGCGTACTTGCTCATGCGCTGGATGGGCTTCAGGAGGTAGGAGGCCAGGTCCATCTTGTCTCCCAGCTGCATCTGCTTGAGCTGCCGGCCAAGAGAGCAGCCTCAGCCGGGAGGGGCCCCAGGACTTGGGGGGGAGGGGGGGCACTGCACTCTTGGCCAGGGCGGCCCTTGTTCTCTCGGGGAGGCGTCTGACCAACTTACCCGGAAGAAAGCGTTCCCCTGACTGGCCAGCAAGGAGTCGGATTTGGGCTTGTTTTTACTGTACAAGGCATACATCCCAAACTGGTCCTTCTGCGAGAAAGGACAGGAACCCAAACTAAGCGAGGATCTTTTCCCCACCTCCAGGTCCAAGGCATCTTTTCAGGTAAGGGGGAAAAGTCAACCACTATCACTCTGGGCTACCAGTGAAAGGACTGACAAAAAGAGACATCTTTAATTCTACCAGCATGACTGACTTGCTCCAACCTGTCTCCAACCGGACAAAAACCCTTCCAAGACCACTGTAACTATTACGATAGGCCCGACAGAGACACGTCTGTGGGGAGGGTTAAACGTCAATTATTACAAATACCTACTAACATTCTAGCAAATTCATGCGTTCCGTGGCAAGAATAAGATTATGAAGAGCCAATCTTTTAGGCTCAAAATCAGTTTTATTGCCCTGCTGCAAATTTGCTCTGGACTAGACCACCTGGAGCAGCCGCCCGCCTGCCCGCCCGCCTTCTCCTCTCCACTGTGCTGCCACTGGTCCACCCAGGAAGCGCCCCCCCCCGCCCCCCCTTACATGTCTCAGGAAGCAATGGCTGACGCGCAGAGGATGGCTGCAGCAGTGCTCCAGTTCTCTCAGGAAATACTGGCTGTGGAAGTTGTACATCTTCTCCAGATTCCCAAAAATGACGCTTCGCTTTCCCCTCAGATCTTGTGGCAGGTCCGCCCGCTCCATTTCAGGAAAATAGTTGCCAAGGATGTAGCGCAAAGATCGCACATACTCCTGCTCGGTCATCACCATCTCCTCCATGATACGCTGCGGTTTGCTGAAATACAGGAAGAGGCGAAGAGTGCATTTGGGTGTGAGGCCTTTCGCTGTATCCGACTTTTGCATGGTCCTCCACACCTCTGAGGGTCAAGAGAGAAGAGCCTTAAAGCTGGCAGCCGACGTCAAATACCAGAGCCAGCCGGCCTTCGTTACGGGAGGAACAAGGGAAAGACGCATCCGCCATAGTCCATTCCAGCGACCAGAGGCAGCAGCCTCTGTTCTTGGGGGGCCACTGGCATTTCTCGGGAAACAGGGCTTGGTAAGATGTGGATAAGGGAATCCAAGGAAGAGGCCAACCGCTGTCCCTGGAGGAACAAGCTCACCTCCTTGGATACCACGAACGGCATGAGACGTTGGCGAGAGGCAGACATCAATAGAGACCATACAAATAAAGAACAGAACTGCTTTGAAGGAGGCACAGAGCCCCCCGCCCCCATTAAAGCTGCCAGGTGCCCCACCCACCTATGCTGGACCCGTTCTTTCCCCAAAACTGTCCCTCACAGACGCTGGCATGAAGGGCTCCACGTCTTCCTCCACCTTCAGTCAGTGGCTGGCTGAGAAAGCCGGTCCTGGACCAAGTGCCAGGACTGGGGAAGCACAGTCCAAACCCACCTGCTCCAGCTCTCTGGCACAGGGCCCCTCAGCCTCTGATCCTCTTGTGGACAGAAGGCAGCCGAGGAGCCGAGGGGCTGTTGGCCTTGCCAGGGCCCACCCACTGGCTCCACGCTGCTGACTTCCAAGCCTTTAATCCAGACTCTGGTGCTGCCACAGTGGCCGGGGTCAGCGCCAGTCCAAGGTCCCTCTGCGCTGGAGAGGTCAACACTCTGGGCCTTCCTCAGTTTCCTTCTGGAGAAGAGCTGGGCGGAGGGAGGGGCTCCCCCATCACAGAGGCGGCAGGAGGGCGGAGGAGTGTCAACAGCCGGCTGGCAAGAGGGGCTGCAAGCAGCCTGGACCAGCCCCTCTCCAGCTCCATCGCAAGGCTCCACCGTGTTGCCCCCGGGCCGCCTGGACAGCAGAGCCGGCCTTCCAGTTAGAGGCACCACACTGGGGACTTCGGCCAGAGGAGCCCTCTTGTCCGCAGGAGCCAAGCAGGGCTCTCCCTCCTCTGCCGGGAGAGGGCCTGGCGGTTGCTGGATCCTCCGCGCAGCTTCCAGCCTCGTCGCCAAGCCCTGCTTGGTCCTTTGGCACTTGGACCAGACCAGCTGCCATTTCTCAAGAGGATCTCCGCTCGGCAGCAGGCCGGCCAGCCTCTTCATACTCTGGAACTGGCTGTCACTCATGCCTGGGTGCTGCTCCCAGAAGCTCTGCAGACACCCAACAGCCGCAGAAGAGTTGTCCCCGCTGAGGCGGGCAAGGAGCTGCATCCCCTCCTCTGCCCACTTGTACGCCTGCAGGGAGGGAGAGAAAGAAAAGCTCACAGGGAAGGAAAAAGTGCTCGGAGCTCGGAGACGCCTGGCAAGCTGGGGCAGATTCTCCTGGGGGCTTCCTGGACCCTCCTGGGATCACGGAGGGAGGCTTGCTTGAGGCCCAGGAGGGACCCTGAAGAAGAGACCCTCAACCCGGCTCTCTCGTGGCCAAGGGGCTTTTGGCTCTTCCCAGCCCAGCCGGGCTTCTTGGCCCCCAGCCCTCCCTTTCCGCTGCTGGAGGGGCCGGCCTTCCTTCGGCAAGGATTCCAGGCCATGCCACACTTTCCTCACGGGGCTCAGGAGTTTGGCCCAGGCCAGGAGGGCCTCACCAGCCAAGAGGGGGGGGCTAACCCCTCCAGCCCCCAGGAGAAAAGGAGCAAAGAGCCCGCAGAGAAACGTCCTGGCTGCGTCTCCTCAGGAGGACCCACCTCTTCCAAGAATCCGTAGAGCTCAACCGCCTGCTCCACCCGGCTCCTGCCGGCCTCCAGCTCTCGGCAGAATCCCTGCAGCTGGTTCTGGTACTCCTGCAGCTGGACTCTGCCGCCTGCCTGGTGCCCCATGGCCAGTGGATGTTCCTCCCCGTCCCACCTCCTCAGCACTTCCCGGCCCCTCTGGCAATACTCCTGAAAGCAGAGCAGAGCAGGCTCCTTAGCCAAGCACCACCTTCCACACAGACAAAGGCCTGCCCTGCTCCCGAGGAGGCCTCCAGGCAGCCAAGACTGGCTAAATCCAGAGGGGGTCGGAAAAGAGAGCCAGTCTGGTCGAGGTTAGAAAGCAGGAGGTGGGGAATTCAAGTCCTGCCTTAGCCATGAAAACTGACTGGGTGAGTTTCGGTCTCTCTCTCTGCTGGAGCAGAGATTTTCGGGATGGCCAGTTGTCTCTATGCCTTTTCAAGTAGCACTTAAAGGCAGAGCAGCTTGGAGAATACAGAATAACAGCGTAGGAAGGGACCTTGGAGGTCTTCTAGTCCAACCCCCTTCTTCTCAAGCAGGAGACCCTATTCCACTTCAGTCAAATGGTTGTCCAGTCTCTTCTTAAGAGCCTCTAGTGACGGAGCACGTTGGGTGACTGTCACTCTACACCCTGCAGCTGTGCTGTAGATGGGATAAGGCCCATGTCTGCCTCCAAGGTCAGTTAACATCTACAGGAAACCACTGAGCTCAGTCTCGGTAAGTTCTGGACATCATTAAGAGGCAGACGACCTTCAGCTCTCTGTCTCTGTGACATCTGAATTGGTTGTAAGGGATAAGGGCCACTCAACAGACTGAATCCTGACAAGACGTGGGCTTCACAGTCAGGCAGGAAGAATGGCTGCACGGTTGGCATTGTCTCTGGGAGTCCCAAGTCACCTCTGTGGACAGAATATCTACGGGTGAGCTGCCAACTATGACTGGACAGGAACAGCCTCGCTGCAGATGTTCCCATGTGGTGGATCCTGTTTCTAGAGGACTGTCATGAGTTTGGTCCCAAAGTGCCCAATGCGGCAGGCAGGGAGCAGGAAAGAGGGTTCCCCTCGGCTGTGGCCCCCAGTCAGCTCTCCAGCCAGGCTCAAGGTTTGGTTCGGCAGTCCCAGAGACCCTAAAGAAGCTACGACCAGGATCCCTGTTGCTGAGCTCAACAATGAGGCCCCGTTACAGACCCCAGGGACTCACAGGATGCCTCTGCTGGCGGGGGGGGGGGGGGGGGGCTCTGCAACGCTCCCCCAGGAAAGTTGGGAGGCACCTAGAAGAAGCACTTGAAGGCATCTGCTGAACCTCACCTCTTCCCTCAGCCTTCCCAAGAGGGACTTTCCCTCCTTCCTTCCTTTTTCAGGAACGTTATTTTTATTCCACAGCTTTATACCATTTTAACGTCCTGTTGTATGTATTATATTACCTATTGTTACACTTAATGTAGGGAACAATATACCAGAGGGAGGGAGAATGCACGGACTGTAGGACTCACATCTGCCCAAAGTGCCAAATCCTGGAACTGCCTTTTGGCTTGAAGCAGCCCCTCCAGAGAATGGTGGTCCAGGGTGTTCAGCTCCAAGAGGCGCTTTTCGCCAACATTCTTGATCCAGCTACAGATCTGAGAAAAGGAGGCAAAAGTAGATTAATGGCAAGAATGGGCCCCTCTGGCTCAAGCTGTGGGCTGTTAATTGCTCGGTGATGGCCGTGGGAAAGAGCCACCACCACCAAGGCCACGGTCAGGCAAGCAGAGCCTGAATCCGTCCAAGGAATCAGCACGGAGCACCTATACGTTCTTGGAGAGTCAACTGCAAGACAGGGAACATCTTGGGTCACACACATTAAAGCAACAAGGGGTCAGAACCCAAATATTCCACATGACATGGTTTATTATTGTTCTGCATTTTGTATTCTGATGTGGCCTAATGACTAATTTATTATAGTTGTTATTCCGAAAAGGTAGTTTGAGAAAACATCTCAGACAGTTTCTCCTCTCCTCCACCCTTGCAGTTCTCATGAAGATCAAGAAGAACCGGGACGGTTGCATCACCCCCATCAAAGCTCCACAAGAGGCTCTACCCCCATCAAGCACGGTCAACACTCCCTTAGTATTATATCCAGGCTGAAACCTAAAAATGCTTGAGATTACTCGTTTCCTCTTTTGAAGCCCAACTGCTTCCTCAACAACCTTTCCTAAAAAGACAACTTTTTAGTTGGCTAAAATTGCCCAAGACTGCTAGGTCCAGGAAGATAGGTCAGGACCTTTTCAGTGGCACAGTCTGAAGGATGAGGACGGCCACGGGGATGATGATTTATAGACGCTCCACTGCAAAAGAGGACAGTTTACACATTCAGTGAAGTTTAAAACAATTAAAAACATAACAACAAAGGACAATACCCCAGACTAAAACAGCTACAAGTAAAAAACCATGACAGTAGCTCCACTAAAACACCAACCTCGGGCCTGGGACTTTGCAATATTCAACAAGGACGTCAAGAATGTTCACCTTATCATCCATCTGGCCTTCGAGTACCCAGGCAGCAGGTCCACTCTGGACATTCCTCTAAAACCATCCAGCAACCAACCGGAGTTGCTAGGGTTCCCTAGGGCAGCTCAGCCCATGAATGCCACTGTGATTATTAATGACGGGGGCAGAGATTTATTTTCATATTGTTTTTGTCACTGCAAATTCACAATAATTTCTTGGAGTTGCCCAATAATAACAGTCCCACGTTATAAGAATAACAGAGTTGGAAGGGACCCTGGAGGTCAGAAGAAAGTCCATTTAAAATGTGACTTATTCGTCACTCCCCCAAATTCAGAGCAGCCCCTGACAGCCCTAAGGCGCCCGTCTGATAACCCTGCAAAACACCGGGCACTGACCTCTTGAAAGCATCGCTCCACAGCTTCAAATTCCACCAGCCATTCCAGGGCTTGGATGCGCCTGTTAGAGACCAGCACCAGCTGGTGCATTCCTTCGTCCACTTCGTTGTAAAGAGTGCCAGCCACTTTCATGGCATCTCTGAGAGAAAAGCAGAGGCGGTTGATCAATGAAGTTCCAACCCTTTGGATGCCGGAAACCCTTGTGGGGAATTCCCACGTCGCATTACTATTAACATAGCCTGGAAGGAAGACCGACCGGGGGGAGGGAAGGACCGGCCCCGGCAAAGGGCCAGGTGGAAGCAGGGTTGACTAGGGTTGAACGCGACCTGCCTGGGAACTGGTCTAGGTGGAGAAGGAAGCACTGTTTCTACACTCTCAATTCCTACCTTCCCAAAGGTCGTTGAGATTAATTTTTTAAATCATTTTTTTATTTTTATATTTTAAAAAATATCTCTTTTGGTGAACAATGTGGTTCCAGGTTTTTACATTTCAATACAAACATGACCATGATTACATATTCATCTTTGGTGTTCAATTTCATATCATATTATTACTTATTCCAATTTCCTTTAAGTATTCTCAAATATTTTTATATTCATTATACTTATTTTATCCAATTCCAATTCATATCATAACTTATTTCATTTTTCTTTAAATATTCTCATATCTTGTTTTACAATATGATGTTTTTTAAAAATATAAAAATAAAAAAATTATTGGGGGTGGTGGAAGACCTGGCTGTTGACATCATGCTGGATCACAAAGCTGAGAAGAACACCAACAATGGAAGGATCTGAGAAATCAACTTCCAGGTGGCGCCCGCTATCGATGGTGAGCTTGCTATGGCAGGCAAGCCTGGCAGACCAGATCACTCTTGGGAAGAATGCAAATCTTGAGAAGTATGATAAAAAGAAAGACAGAATGGGTATATCTTTACCGCTGCAGCTAAGTGAGACACATCAAGAAATTAATACTGGCAAGCCCAATATATATTCGAGCATTATTTAGTCTATGGCTAAAGTTTGTTTCAGATGGAAGAAATCCATGAAGTATTCCAGACAGACTCCTTCCTGAGCAAGGCCAAAATGATCCCAGCTGGCAAGGACCACATGGGAGTTTGAGACAGAAAGAATGTGGCTGCCATTCTGCTGCTCGCTTCCCAATGCGTCCTGCCGGCACCCTGACGTTACCAACGGCAGGAGGGGGAGACTGGAAGGTGGGGTAGGGATTGAAGCAAGAGCCTCAGCCCTGACCAGGAGGAGCCCCCATCAAGAACAAAGTCAGCAAAAGGAATGCGAAGAAGGGGAAGGCGGGAACATAGGGTCCCTTCCCAAAAGCAACCGGAGAACTTTTAATTGGCACTGACTGGGAACGGAGATGGCCAGGGGGAAGGGGGAAGTTAACTGCATTGTTTTCAGACCAAGCCAGCCAACTGTCAGCTTGGTCTCATCGCTTTCCTCCAGGCTTGCTGCCAGCTGCCAGGAAATGGGGAGGGGGGAGCAATGGGCATTTGGGAGGGGAAGCCTGCAGGTGGGGTGGAATTGCTGAGAACCGATGGGGAGGCTTGGACTCAGACCTTGCCTGACTTTTGCTGCACTCATTTCGTTCTTAGTAAAAGTGTCTCTTCTCTGAATCTACGGGGTCAAGCGTTTCTTCCCTAGGAACAGATCGGAGGCAGCCCCGACACCCACAGATTCTGCCTCCACTTTGTTCTCAGTCAAGTATACTCTTGCAGCCAGGAGCCTTTCTTTGCTAATGGGTGACAGCGGCCTGTGTTTCATTGGAACATTCCTATTGCAACCCCGAATCTCACTATCCAAGTCATATGCCCCACCATACGCATCAGAAGGAAATCCTCTGAACACACCAGACATTTCATAAAATGGCTTCTGAAGAGCGGAGTACGCTTAAGATGGCTGTTTGTAGACAGAACACAATTTGGAGATGCTATGGAGAATTGCAGTGAGTCAAAACCCATCCAAAGGCTTTAGGATTCCGAGTTGCATCCCGGCAAGCTTACTTGGTTTACTTTTTGCTAATCAGTTAGCTAAGGTGTGTAGGAAGCACATGGCAATAAACTTTAACAACTCTGATATCAACTGGGAGTAAAATTCTGCGAGTGGAAGATCAGACAGGTTCCTGATGAATCTAGCTTGCAACTTTAGTAAAAGATGAAAAAAGCCTGGATTCTAAAAGTGAGCGCTATCTGGTTGCTGAGATCTCCATATCCTATTGTTTTAAATGCATTTTATTACAAGATTCCCAGGGAGAATCTCGCTTTTGGTCGAAGGCAGCTTAACTATTAGATGGGAATATCCCAGGACTAGGACTTCCAGGGGGAGAAAATGAAGGATTACCCGATCGCCAAAGAGCAGAGATGACGCCAGGTACAGACTGGCAGCCGGGTCGGGAGCCAGGGACAGTGGGGAGTCTCTGGGTAAGGAGAAGCCAAGGCATCCCTCACTTGGGCAGCTCCCCAGAAGAAAATCCAGAGGAAACCTGCAGCTGTTCAATGCAGCGGGTGATGCACGGTGAGCAGCGGAAGAAGTAGCCAGTTGATAGCTAAGAGGAGCCTGTTTAAGAATCCCAGGGTCGCCCCAAAGTCCACTTCTGAATGTAAAAAGAGGTCTCCTGAGCAGCAGAGCAACTGAGCCAACTATTGACTTGGACTTGGATTAAAGTAAAAAGTAAAGAATTATAAAGGTTTAAAAATAAATAAAAGCAAAGCAGTTTGCCAAAAATCTGCATTAAGAAGCTTTAAAACAGATTAAGCGGGCAGTTACATTTACATTTAGAAGAGTGATTCCTTTAAAGTACTATTAAATAAATACATACCTACATACCTACATACCTACCTACATAGGGATGAGGACTGTTTAAACTTTCTAAAAAGGATTGGTTGGTTTCATTAAAGAAATAGGGGAACGTGCAAAAAATCATGTGACCCTAGAACTAGAATTAAGGCTACAAAGAAACACAGTCTCCTTTTACTTTTCTCCTTTTTTGGATTACAAATGGAAGAAGAGAAATAGCTGCCACCAGGAAAGGAGAAGCTACGAGAGGATTCTTAACGGAGCCAATACGGGGAGTCCTCACGGCCATATTCCTTGAGTGAACATTGGAAGTTGCAATGGCACCTGTGACTGTTTCTTACAACTGTTGCAGCATCCCATAGTCACATGACCAAAACTCGGGTGCTTAGTAACTGGTTCAAATTCACGACGGTTGCAGTGCACCAGGTCATGGGATGGCCTTTTGTGATCTTCTGACAAGCCAGATTCATTTAACAACCGTGATCCTGACTTAAGAAGGGCAGAGATTGGTTATGGCAAGACATGTGAAATGGGGCCAAACTCAACAACTTAGCAACAGACGTTTGGGGCTCAGCTGTTGTCTTAATCAAGGACTACCTGTGACAGAGAAAGGGATTTCAGTCCTTAACTTATAACCAGTCGCTCAGCAGCCATTCACCCACTTACACCAGTAACACTACTATTAAATTTGCAGATGATACAACAGTGGTGGGACTTATCTCCGGGGGGAAGGAGTCTGCCTATCGAGATGAGGTGGACCAGTTGCTTTCGTGGTGTGAAGACAATAACTTGGCCCTAAACACCAATAAGACCAAGGAGCTTATAGTGGATTATAGAAGGAACAGATCAGACCTCCAGCCCTTGCTTATCAATGGAGACCGAGGGGAGCAAGTGGCTAGTTTTACGTTTCTGGGTGTTACCCTAAAAGGGGACCTGACCTGGGGTGCCCCCCGTTACTCATGGCAGCCAGAAAGAAGCAAAGGAAAGGAGGAAGATCTTGAAGACTGACAAAAGCTCTCCAGAGGGTGAACCAGTCATTGCCCAGAGGTTCATGGGTTGCCCTCTCCCCTCTTTGGAAGAGCTTTAGAGCTCCCGCTGCCTTAAGAAAGTTCAAAATATTCTCAAAGATCCATCTCATCCTGGGAACCCTTTTTTTGAACTATGACCATCTGGCAGACGGTACAAGATAATAAAAATAAGGAGAAATAGGCTGAAAAACAGCTTCTATCCCAGGGCAGTAGCTCTATTGAATTCTACTGTAGAGTATAATATTAATATCAATTCAATTTTCAATTCAATTGTATAGAGTGGGAAGTATGTGTATTTGTGTTTTATTTTTATAGTTATAATATACACTGAAGATGGCATTTAATTTGATTGTATAAGGTGCAGTGACAATAAAGTAAACTAAACTAAAATTCCGATGAGACCTTCCAAAGCAACAGAGGCCAGTGCTGAAGTTCCGATGGCCGCCCCACCCCCAGGCCGTGGGAGGACCGCACTTCAGGCGCTTGGCAACCAGCCTGTGCTGTCGTGGGTCCTCGTCCCATGATCACAGGACCACAGTTCCCAGCTTATTTCCAGTGTTCGGCAAAAACTGGAAGAAGCGAACTACGGCGGTTTGCTTACGGACTGTGGCATTCCCTTAATGACTGCCACAAAATGGTCATAAAACTGGGCGCAGTCATGTGGTGACCTGCTTTACAGTCACCACGACTTACAACTGTAATGGGCCAGCCTAGTATGATTTGATTGCTTATTGTACCCTGTGACTATTATTAAGTGTTGTACCTGATGATTCTTGACTCTTGACAAATGTATCGTTTCATGTACGCTGAGAGCATTTGCACCAAGACAAATTCCTTGTGTGTCCAATCACACTTGGCCAATAAAAAATTCAATTCAATTCAATTCAATTCCTATTCTATTCTATTCCTTATTCTATTCTATTCTACTCTGTTATAGCAGCAACTATAGATTGTAATATTTTCTTGGCTGCCCTATCTATTTTCATTTCTTGGTACTGTGCTTCTCTTTGCTTTTTTTAATGTAGGTTACGATCATTTGCTGTCCACAGCGCCTTGTTTGAGGTGGGCAGCCACAGAAGTAGATGAAGAGAGGACTCAAAGGAAGACTGGGAAGGCTGTGGGGCGAGAGCGAGTGAGATCCCCGCGGAGAATCCCAGGGAACGCTGGCTGAGGCCTCTGCGCTTCCTGCCCGTCCTGCTCACCTGCAGTCCTCGGGCAGCATCAGGCAGGATTCCTCCTTCTTGAGGCTGGCCAGGAGAGCGCCCCCCTCCAACCGTAGCCTGGCCAGCCTTCGGTCGTCCAGAACCATTTTCATCCTTTGCCTGGAACTCTTCAAAAGGGCCCCGGCGTCCTAGAGCCAAGGAAAGACCGGGCTTAAGGCTCTGGGACGGAGGCAGTGACTGGCCTTCTGACCCGAGGGAGGGCAGCGAGCCCAGGCCAGGAGCCTTCATGGCCTCCAAGGGCCTTTGCACCCACACACACACCCCGAGGGTCGGAGGAGGTTTGTTCAAGAACGTTTTGCCACCTGGCCGCAGGCCCTCGGCCCAGGGAGCCTGGGCTTCTTACCAGAGCGGAGCCAGAGAGACTCACCTGGGGTTTCTCCGGCCAGCTGCTGGACTCCACGGCTTCTACCGTCTCTTTGAGGAACAGGCGAGCCTCTTGGCACCCAGAAAGCAAGTGCTCCAGACGCTGCAAGGTCAGCACAAGGGCAACCCCCGTGGGTGAACAGGCCATCCGCCGGGTGCAGCTCCGGAACCCAAGCCAAGATCCCGCCCGGTGGGGGGGGGGGGGAAGAGGCCCTATTTTCTCTCCCAGGAAAAGGCTTCCTTCCCAGGGGAGCTGCCCAGGCCCAGGAGCCCCCCCCCCCCCCCCCCACCCCCCCCCCCCCCCCCCTGGCCCCCCCGGGGCCCCCGGCTTAATCCATTGCCCCAAATGGAAGAAAACCCTTTTTTCTTCTTCTTCTTAAGCCTCCCTCCCTGAACACCTGGAAACCAACGTTCTGAACAGGTATAGCCAGGACCACATTTTCTGAATGTTTGCTTATATTGGCATGAATATTAGCAGAACTTCACGTCAGTCAGTCCTACCAATGTATAAAGGGAGCCACCTGACCCCTCCCCCCATCCCAGAGCCCAGGTGACTTCCTGCCATGGGGGGGAGTCCTCCCAAGGGGAAATGCTGGGATGGGGGTGGGGACACTTGCAGCCAGCCCACTGTCAATGCCGTTTAGTCATCCATCATGTCACGGCAAACTTTGTCGCTTGTATCCTGACGACTTATATGGACTCTTTCCTGGTAGGATTTGATTGTTGGTTATACCCTAGGACTTTCATTAAGTGCTGTGCGTTATGATTCTTGATTCTTCACGAATATATCTTTTCTTTATGTACACTGAGAGCATTTGCACCAAAGACAAATCCCTCGTGTGTCCAATCACACTTGGCCAATGAAGTATTCTATTCTATTCTATCCCTATTTCTATTCTATTCTATTCTTTTCTATTCCTATTCTATTCTATTCTTTTCTATTTCTATTCTATGTGCCAGTATAAAAAAGCAGATTCAAGAGGAACCTTTTCCAATTAGCAAATTGTATGAAAAGATGGATGTTTTGTGAGCTGCAGCTCCCTTCATCAGGCGAGGCTCTTGAATAAAATGGGTTAGTTGGGAAAAGTGTTACTGGGCACCTGCTGCAACGCCTTAAATTCAGTAACAGACGCCAGCCCTCCTTCTAGCTGCAATCCTGGCGGCCAACCGCTCTGGCGCCTGGAGATCAGCCTCTCCCAAGCTCCACTGTGCAGGAATCCCACCCATTCTTCCCTGGGAAACTGATCCCGAGGGATGGGGAGGGGGGGAGGGGGGGAGTGGCTTCTTCCAGGTTATTTGTGGTCTTTACATCTGAATTTTGCCTTATTCAGTCCAAATCTTGGACTTTGTTCTTTTGTAGATCTTGCTGGTTTTGTGTTTTTGGTCTTCTAGTTCTCCCAAGAATTCTCTCATTCAGATGAGAGTTTGCGCTTCCTTTAATAATGGCAATTACCATCTACATTCTTGGGGTGCCTGACAGGAGGCGGCTTAACTTCCGGAAGGCAGGCCTTGGTCTCCGCCAGGCCTGAGATGTCCTGCTCATCTGGCCACAGAGTCTTCCTCCCAAAGCATGGAGGGGCAGCCAGGGGCTGTCTGGAAAACAGGAGGGCCGCCCTTCTTGACGAGCGAGCGGGGCTTCGTCTGCCTGGCTCTTCTCCCCCGAATCCCATTTGCATCCATGGCAAGAGAGGCTTAAGAACCGCAACGGTTGTTCTAAGGATCCCCCCGAGCGCCTGTCAGATTGCTTTGGACAGGCAGCCATTGGAGAAGGTTCACCATGGACCCAATTTGACTCTGACTTTGGATTGGTGGAATCCTGGAGTTTGGGAAATGATTTTGTAACTTCCATTTTCCGGCAGCATACCACGCCCCTGGGATCTGCCCAGTGGGAGCCACCTGCATTGGCTTTGAAGACAAGGCACCGCCAGAAACTGAGAGCACATCGTAAGTGGCGTCACAGGACAACACTCAGAGTTACCTAAAAAGCCCTGGCCTTCCGGTGCGCCCCCCCCCCCCCCCCCCCCGGCCCGACCGTGCTTCCCGACCGGGGCTGGGGAGCCCCCCTCCTGTCCCTACACGAATTTCCCTCTTCGAACCCAAGGGAGCTTCCCTGCTATGTATATCAGTATGTTATCCATTCAACCCAGGTTCTCGTAATATTCAGTGGCAAAATATGCAAAAATTCAGAAAACCCACAAGAGAGAGAATCCTTTTTTTATAGAACTATAGATCTGCTGGAATTCTGGATTACTCGAAGTTTTCGTGCCTGCCTCACCATTTGGAAGTGCAGCCACTTCTGGTGGCAATAGGGAAGCGACCCGCTGAATTCTTGAGGCAGCTGATGGCTCTCGATGTGTTTATGGAGGGACTTCAAGGAACTGAGCAGTTCACACTGTGAAAGAGAAAAGAGAGGCATCTTCACGTCACACCAGTTTACATGTCCCCAAATACTGTGCAAGACTGAAAACTGGCACACGCTAACCTCCAGTCCATATAACCCATCCAGCTTTCTTCGGTCAGCATCCTGCAACTTTTACCATCCAGGAGGGACAAGGATCTAAGTGACTGGTGGTGGCACTGACAGCATCAAGGACCTGTCCACTCCCTTAGGTGGATCCCTATAGGATCACACTCTTCCCAGATAATTGGATAAGGCCCTTGGATGTCCACTGCCACCCCACTTCTCCTGCTCTGGGATCTTGGCTGCTGGACACCCCCACCCCTCCCTCTCTGGAGTAAGCCAAGTCCCGGGTTGGCTTGCTCCTCTATTACTGATCATCATCATCCACACACGCACACACACACCAGCATTCAACAGCAGCAGCCAGTGCTTTTGGCAAGCGAGAGGAAAAGGCGGTGGCGTGCCAAGCTCTCGAGTTCGGTGGTGGTGCAATTTGTGGACTCTGGGCAGGTTTGGCACTGCAGCAAACGGCAAGGCAGGGCTTGTGGGAGAGACTGGGGCTAAGTGGGGAAGGGGAGAGGCTGGCCTGGCACTTCTCTGCCTGGCTGGGCAGGGGCTCCAGCACCCAAGGCTGTGCAGGAGGCGAGCCTGGGAAGCGCGGGACTGTCAAACGTGGCGCCAAAGGTAAACTAGCTGTTGGGGATGCGGTGGGGAGGAAAGGCCCAAGCAGCCTGAGACCCGAAGAGTGGGAAGAGGAGCATGGGATCTCTCAATGGGTGGGGGCAGGCTGGACACAGTGGTGCACTAGTCCCTGCACTAGGCCTCCCAGGGTCCTCCCCACTCCTGAGCTACCCCATGCGCTCTTAACCACCCACACATTCGATTAACACTGGGGCTCATTCATTTAACAAGTTTCAATTAATGAACGTAACTGGCAGGCTCCATTACATTCCGAACTCAAGGGCTACCTGTACAGAGAGGAGGGACAGGTGAGCCCAGCAATGTTTTAATGAACTGTGGTATCTTAAAGTCAGAATTGACTCCTGGCAGCTGCCTGGGTCTAGGAAAACTCTGTGTGGCCAGCTCAGCGTGCTCTTACTCAGTTGTATTCGGGAGATGGTGGCAGAGTTTGGAACGGGACATGGAGATATAAAATACAGCCTGGAGCCTTGTTGGGAGGTTACCACCCCACTGGTTTAGAGGAAGGAAGACAATGACTCCCACCCCTTTTTCATGCTACCCAAGGAAGTGGTCCTTCAACTGCATTCTACTTTTTTTAACACTAGGCTAATTTCTGGTAATAGATGTTTTATGATCCAGAATAATCAAATGTATTGTATCCCAAGAAATTCCCCAAACCATGATGGCACAGTGGTTAGAATGCATGACTGCAGGATACTTCTGCTGACTGACTGCAATTTGGCAGTTCGAATCTCATCAGGCTCAAGGTTGACTCAGCCTGCCATCCTTCCCAGGTCGGTAAAACCAGGACCCAGATGGTTGGGGGCAAGAGGCTGACTCTGCAAACCACTTAAGAGAAGGCTGTAAAGTCAAAGTGCTCTTGCTAAACTACATTCCCAATGATGGTTTTGCATCACCAACCACCGGAATTCAGAACCCAACACCCAATTTGTGTCAAGATGATTAATTCTTCCTGCACAGAGCATGGACAAGGTTAAGTCTGAAGACATCAATGCATAAGACAATTCTGAAAAATAATATATACAAAGGTTTCGAGAATCAGGCGGATAGTCTGCCTCTGGCGCATTTTTCATAGTATTTTGGTTCAAAATTTATTAGTTTATCTGCGGAGGGGCTTATCTGTGAATATATATGATGTGGTGTTTAGTGGCTTTAGTTATGAATGCCTTTTAACGTTAAATCATGTCTGGCAAACCACTGGCAGCCAGGGCAGATCTTTCTCCGACGATCCCTTTACTCGGCTTCATTCAGTTAGCAGTTTTGCACCAACTGAAACTCCCTGTTTCAGCCTCAAAACAGAACATAGCAAGGCGCGAATAACTATCATCAGATAGTGAATAACTATCATCAGCCTGGTACAAGAAATGATTCAGCCTCACACTCTGAGTGGCAGATAACAGCTCCGCCCCCAGATGCTGACCAGCAATCTGGACACACTGAGCCCCAGTACGAGCACGCGGGTCATGCTCTGGATGTCCAGCGTTAGTTGCTAAACAGCCTCTTGTTTTCTGATTCCAGCAGCACAAACCCCTTGGCCAGAAAAATGGAGACTTTGCGCACGTTGACAGGAAAAGGGAGAGAGGGGGAAAGGCAAACCGGGAACAGACCCCCTCTGGGCTGGAATGGCTGCCTGCATATTTAGCAGGTTTATATGGGCCACAAAAACACCTACAGATGCGGCAGCCGGATTGCTCTGGGGCTGCTCTACCCCTTCCGCATCCTTTACAAAATCATGCTTTGGAATACAGGACACGCTCCAGGCCCTTTGAAATGGTGGGCGAGGATTCCTGAAGTCCGAACTTCCTCGCACCTGCACAGCAGCTGGCCTTTCTGTCTGGAAGGTGTGGTCTCTCTCCACAAACAGCAGGGCTCTCTGGATGCAGTGGGGGATGATCTCCTGCAACAATAAAACGCATTTCTCTACGGCTCCTGCTCCAGTCAAAAGTTTTCTTAGATATCCAGCTAAGTAAGGATTGGCAGGAATGTTCTCTGCCTTTCTCTGTTAAGAAGGAAGGAAGAGGCCAATGGAAGTACTTGTCTTAAGGCCAAGTCCTTCACCTGTGAGCGGTTTCTTACCCGAATGTTTCTGGCACTTTCAGGGCATCCAGATTTGGTGGGATGGAACGCTGGCAAAGAACCGGGAAAGGCAAACAACGGCTCTGTGTGCCCAGTGGGCACCCAACAATTGGAGAGCAGCATTCAGCAGAAGGAAGTCTCACCTGCAAAGTGCCCAAGGCTGTAAAGACAGCTGGGATTGGGGAGGATCGTCGGGCATCGACCAGGATTGTCAAGCCCAAGGCTTTGAGCTCCGGCCTGAGGATGAAAGGGAATAGGAGACAGAGAGGAGGGTCTATAGAGCTATTCAAAATACTCCTTGAGGAGATCAGAGAATATTCACACAGAACAGTGAGAAATTAAAGTGGCATATCTAAGCTGCTGTATCTGGGATTCCCAGAGGACATGGAAGTACCCAAGTCAGCTAAGAGCCACATCCGCGTTTCTCCCCTGGCTAGAAATCTACCACTATAAAGCTAAGAACTGACAGAACAATTAAAAGTATTCAGTGCAGAGAACACTTGCTGACCGTGTCTTCCTTGCCTTTTCCCACAAACCTGAGAATGCTGCGTAAATACAGGAGAAGGCGTGTTATTTCACTGGCATTGCAGTTCGGGCACAACCAAATTGTATTTCTCATTGTGATGATGACCACGGCCCGGCCGTATCTGTCTCTGGTACCTGAGAAAGAGGCTCCGTTTAATTTGTCTAATTAATTAGGGAAAAAACCCCAACCAAGGCCCCCTTGAAGTGGCCATTTATTGCTCTCTAATAAACAGAGAAATGGCTTTTTCAACCTATCTCATGAACGAATAAATGCAAACATGGCAAAATATTTTAAATAACAGGATGGTAGAAGTTGAGGACGATTAGGAGAAACACAAACTCAGATCCACACAGAATTGGACTCTTGAGGGGCTCACCCAGAACAGCACTTGTTCTCTTTGGTGGCAGTTCTTCCTGAGCCTCGCTGGGAGTCTGACTGCCGAGTGCCATAAACTCTTTTGGGGAGAATGGCTTGCCCCCCGTCCGTCCCCGTCCCCGTCCCCCCCCCAGCTGGCAACTCAGGCTGGTTCTCTTAAAGCGCCTCAGGTCCACCCCTTCACTCCACAAGGGCTGCCACGAACTCCCACCCCCGGCTGCCCACTGTTCCCCTGCAACTGTGGCTGTCCAAGGAAGGGAGACCCCTCAGCCTCTTTGGGGAGTGGGGGCCTATGTGCAAAGGCCCAATTCCCCGTGAGAAAGTGAAAAGCGTTTCTCAGGTTCACCAATAACTCCTCCCTGACCGCTGCATTCTTCACAAGTCATAAAGACAGCAACAACCTCCGGAGGCTTCACCTGGCAGGCAGGCAGCCCCACTCCGAAGCATCTCCCAGTTCACGCTCTTCATGGGCAGGGAGTCTGTTTCCAGAATCCCCCGGGATGGAAAGGGTGGCGGTCCTGGTTGCATAGTCACAGCCGCGAGGTCTTTCCCCCCAGAGCCGCCAGGAGTGCTCAGTGCCAGGCTGCTGTTATCAGCTTCTTCCCTGGAATTTTCTGTCCCATTTGATGATGTTTCTGTAACAGGAAACAGCTTTCAGTGCTAAGAGTTTAATTGTCCCCATTTGCATTCAGAGGCAAAGCAGATACTCACTGATTTACCCTGCCTCTTTGCAATTGGACAGGGGAAATTAGCTTCAGGCTTTGCCCAGGAATCTTCAGGCTCCACCTGACTTCTCTGCCATCCCTTCTCTTACTAAAAGTTCCCTTTGAGTCTTCATGCTTTTCCTGCTTTCCTGAGATGATAGCTGGGCAGGTCCTCACAAGGACAGGATGACCAGCAGCAGGAGAGGCAGACTCAACTACAGCATTGATGGGGGCACTGGTGGAAACGTGAAGGCCTGCTGGAGAGAGGCCATCTTGCACAAGGTCTACCCAAGGAGCAGCTCAGAGTCAACACTTATTTGAGGGCAAGAAAGCCCCCACTGGCCTTGCACAACATCTGCGCGACAACTTTAACATCCCTTCCCAATGGAAAGCCAAATGGGCTGCTGAACGGCCAGACACAGAAATATATACAAATGACCCTACAAAAAAGGTGCCAGATTTTGAACTTTGAATGGAACCATGTCAACAATGGACAATCCTGAATTCACAGCTCACACAACGTCTGCTGGGACTCCCTGCGTAAATGGGGCAGCGTATCCTCCCCTCAGGGGGACTGCAGGGGCCCACATCAAACTGTAGCTCACACCATGACCGGCTGTAAGCTGAGGGCATCTACCGGTCCAGTATCCGGTTTCTTTCATAGGAACGATCCTGCGCTTCAGTGCTTAGAGGACCTAGACGTTGCTATTGTGCTGGACCAGAACCCCCAGATTATAGTGCCAAATTTTAGCAACACAACCACCCAGGAATTTCTGTATTGGATGAATAGCTGTAGATGGAGAAGCCAGATTCACTTAACAACCGGGTTACTAATTTACCAACTGCAGGGATTCACTTAGCAACTAGGGCAAGAAAGGTTTTAAAGTGGGGAAAAACTTCCTTAACAAATGTCTCACCTAAGAACAGGAATCTTGGGCTCAATTGTGATCCTAAGTCAAGGACCACCTGTCCAGCTTTTTTGGATGAGTGAGAAGCCTTGTTCCTTTTCTGTAAACCAATCATGTCATTGCAACTTTCCTTGTGTGGCTAAACTTTGGCAGCAGAATCTGGGGGTTCTGGCCCGGCACGATAATTGTCAAGGGATACCTTCTATACACAATTTGCAAGCTCCTTCCTGGGCAATAAGAGACGGACGTCTCCAGCGCTGCCCAGCACCCACGTAGGAGCCCCTCCCTTGGCCCCTCCCAGGCTTTGATTCTGGGAGACAAAGGTTTCAGGGCAGAATATTAAATTGGAAGCTAGCAGACCGCAAAGAGATAACTAGCCACCAAGCATGCTCTTCATTTCCAATAATGCCCAATGACCCACCAGCAGAAAATAAAAATCAGCCAACTAACAGCCTAGGGGGAGCACTGCTATTCTTTAAACATCCCCAATTTGTCCAGCAAAAACCAAAAAAGCTAGAAATTATAGGAAGCGTCCAGGGAAGCTATGCAGAGGGAGTCTGCTGTGCTCCTGACGCGTCCAATGGGCCAACCCTTCTGAGGCAATTCTTGGCCCGTGGCATATTTTCAAAATCCTTAAAAGGTCCACTAGCCCCAAAGGCTGCTGGCCTCGGCAATTAACCCCTGTGCCATTCTAAACTTGAGTTCCCTTTCCTGCCATTCTCCTGTTCCGGAAAGAGGCCCCGCCTGGCACGCTCCATCTCCCTTTCCCCAGGGGAGGGCAGGAAGTGGCCGAATGCATCCTACCTGTGGCCGGATCCCCCTCTGGGATGAGGTTGGTGTGCTCTGGCCATGCCTGAGCTGGAAACAGGGCCGGGAGGGGGGGTGCCAAGGAGTTTGTCTTTGGAGCTTCACGGATTGAGTTGTGTCCACCTTCCAGGAAGGCTCCCGTGCCGGACTCCTTGCCTGGGGAAGGGGCTTGGCTGCCCTGTTCTCTTCCCGCCTTCTTGGAAACACCTATCGGCAAAGCATGTGGCGTGCCTGAGAGATTGGGCTGATCCACAGAAGGTGCTGCGGCACCGCCTGGGTGGAGGCTGCTGTGGGGGGCCTCTGCCTGTCCAGCGGCTTCTTCTGCTAGAGGCCTGGGGCCATTTTCCTTCGGCTTTGTTTTCATGCTCTTCTTTGGCTCAGCCTCAGGACTGGGAAGCAGAAGATTGTCTCCCGCTCGCTGTTGATAACTGTCCACATTTTCTTGCCCTGCCTTCTGGGAAAGGGAGCTTTGGGGGATTAAAGGGTCTCCAGAATTAAGTTGCCACTCATTCTTCGGGGGGCTTTGCTTAGTGTGCGACTGGTGATGTCCTTCCATGCTTATTCTATTGCCCAACTCCATTAATGGGCCCACTAGTGTCCCTTCCGTGTGCTCTAGAAGATGCAGTGGTTTCAACCATTCAGAAGATTGGCCTTTAACTTCCACCAAGTGTTTCTGTGAGGATTGGTGATCAGCTACTCTCCTCCTCGAAAAGGTTCTCACCTGTGATGATTTGATTATGGTTGGAGAAGTTGCCTTTCTCTCCAGCCTTTCTGTAAAGCTGTCAGGCTCGCAGTTCCTGATCTCTGTCAGGACAACGTCACCTACTCTTTCTACACCCAAAGCATCAGGGTAGGATGCAGAAGGCTTGGGGGACCCCAAGCAGCCTCCTGCCATGGTAGAAGAGCCTGCCCCAGGAGCCTGACCTTCAGCCTTCCCTCCGTCCTTGTAACTGCACGTGGCAGGCCTCCAATCAAGCTCCCGCCCTGGATGTGTCAATAACACCTTGGCAAACTGTGGTTCCTTAATAGAGGAAGCAGTGGGACTCAAAGAAGCTGGATGATCCTTTGGATTGCCAGGATGTTTCGGGAACAATTTATCACACTCTGTTTCATTATTTTCAGAACATGCAACAGTTGGCATGTCAGAAGTCCTCAGCTGCCCAGATGGCACCGATGCAACAGCTGACCCAGCACAATTTCCCCAGCGAGGCCTATTGTTCTGACTGTGCTGCTGGCTGTCCTTGGCTTCCAGGCAACAGAAAGTGCTGGGCTGAGCAGAAGATCCTTTGGAGCGGCCAGAGGTGGGCAGGGAGTCGTCTGCCAAGTCCGCCTCTTCTCCTTCCCCATCACTTCCACGGGCCTCCCTGAGCTCTGGGCTCCCACGTGCCTGATCAGCAGGCTCCTCCATTATCCCAAGGCCGGTCTCAGAATATCTCACCCGCTGTGGCTAAGAAGCAGTTTTCCAGTGTGGTTCTCAACCATTTCCTGCTGAGTGAGCTCAGCCATTCCACAGTGAAGAGAGAGGCGCACAAGGCAGCAGATGCCACAAACTCCTCCACGCTATGTTTCTCCTTGGCCAAGGACTTCCCTATGATCCATGGAGACTTTCTCAAGTACAGAACCACTTGCAGGTAAACATTCTCTGGCCTCAAGATCCACCAGTCGAGAGAGAAGCCAGCTGGATGACGATCTTCTCATGAACCAAAAGGGCCAGCCTCATGCTGGAAGAGCAAACTGTAACACGGAGCCTGATGGAATAAGAAAAGCCAAGGGAATCGTTTGCCAGCAGTTTCTCAATAAGGCAGAATCTAATATTACCTCCCCCATCCCATAATTATAAGCATCCCATACTTGAGAAAAAGCCATTTCAGGTTCCTAATTGCTTAAAGATATTAAGGCTGGCACACAATGATGCATTACTTATTCTAAGAAGTAGCTGTCCTTACTTGTGGAATAAGGTAGAAATAGAGCATTCATGCCCCTGAATTTGCTACTTTCAAAAGGGCTGTGCAGAAAATTACTCAGAATATGAAGATTTTGTATGACTATCACGCCAGTGTTTTATGACTTAAAGCTGTCCTGTCTTTGCTTCCAAATGGGGCGAACAAAAGTTGTGATTGTCTGAAAAGTCACATAAAGAGCTATCTCATTAAAGCAGGTAAATCTTTTTTTTTTCTATCTCATGCAAAACTCTGACAAAAGTTGGGTCCACTTCAATTAGTAGCAAAAGGGTATTCTGTTCACCCTTATTTAAAGCTAAAGCAATTATTCCAAATCAGTTTGAAGCATGGATACTCATCATTTTGAGCAGAGTAGTATTATTCTTCAATCTGAAAGTTCTCTTCCGTGCTTAAATAACACACACGAAGATGTTGAAATCCATTGGAAACATCAAGTGAGTACAACAGCTGGACTGTTATCTGGGGCAAGCAGAATTTGGCAGCTTGATAACATTTTAAGTAACTCCTCTTTTGAAAATAACTTTCCCAAAAGATGCATTTAAGGTGAATACTATTAAGAAAGGTGACTGACTCCCCTTCTTAGATGAGCCCTATAGAAAGGAAAAAGTTACAGGGAGGCTGAAAGAAGCCACTTGAACCCGATTCAAGCTGCAATCTTGGTCACGTTCTGTGGTCACGCTTAAGCAGGGAAAACGAGCCCCTCACTGTCCCAGGGGAGACCCTCAACTTTGCTGGCATTGTGACCTCATAGCATAGTGATTTTAAGGGATCTGAATCCCTTGGCATCATCTCAATAAAAAAATGCTACTTTTGTGAGATGGGCACCTATCTTAAATATAAACCTGCTCTCTAACACTTGCAGTTCTTTGAAAAGTCATCTGCATACAAATTATTATTTTGGTAAATACAAGTTATATACATTTAATACGATAAAATCTAACAAGTCTGGCCCTTGAAAGCTTCTGCAGTATTGTTCTGTTTGCTTAGGAATGAGTGGGGCAAAGAATTGCAAGGCCTTGGGCACCCTTTAGGGCTTCTTGGCTGCAGACCCAGCCTGGCTACTAGGCTCCCTCCCTTCTAGAGATGATTCCTTTTGAGCCTGGAGGCAGCAAGATACTCACAGCCTTCCCGCTGGACCCACCACAAGATGTGCTTGGCAGGAATCAGGAGGCCGCCGGTGAGGTAGCAGAGGCCATCCCTGCCGCAGAGCTTCTCCACCACATCAAAGACCTGGCTGATGTGATCTCAGAGGGAGGGTAAAGCCCAGAGAGGATGTTCTGGATGCAGCCGTCCAGTGGCTGGGAATCCTACCAAGAGAAGGAGAGTCAGCAGAGCTGGCAAGTGGACCTCTCAGGCTGCAATCACGAAGGGCAACTGGAGGAGCTCCCCATCCCTCCAGACCCCCAACTTTCCCAAAGACAGTTCCTGCAGCGCCAGAGCGGAGCGCTCACCTAGTCCCGACGGATTGGCGGCAGACAGCTTACACTGCAAAAACTTTCCTGACTGAGCAGGGTGTGGTTCCTGTTCAGCTATTATGATTGTAGCATGTGAGAGAATACATGGCATGTGTTTGTGAACATGAAAGAGGCAGAAGAGCGTGCACCAGAATGTGCCTTTCTTGTTCTTACAAGGCTCACAAAACCATATTCTCAACCACTATACATGATAATAAACTCAGTTAAGGTTCTTTATGGCTATAAACCATTCTTTATGGTTCCTTCGGGATATACTGCATTATGCAGACAAAACAAAATATATATGGCAACGCTGCATTATCTGCCCTTACATTAATATCGTGTCCCAAGAGCATTAGAATACATGACAGGCGAGAGCCAAAGAGATGTACTTAAAGAGGCACAAAAGGGAGCATTTTGTGGGGACAAAGAGAACAGTTACATTCGTCTCTCTTGCCCAGAGCATTTGGTGGAGCACAGCTCAGGCATTTACAGCCGGCCAGGAACTCTAACTGGCCTAACTGGCTGTTCCAAACTCTAAAAAAATTCCACAGGTTTTGAATGATCCCCAAAAGGCTGCTGTGTATCTGACATTTCTCTGCCAGCGGGAAAGAACTGCACCACCCAACCCAGATTTACTCCCAGTTTGTAAAAACTTCTGCTGCGGCTTCAGTGCTGCCTGCAGGGGCTGAGAGCCAGGATTGTGCACCATCAGCAGTTCTGCTTCTCACACACACACACACACCACACACGAGATTAACTTGTCACCGCCGAATAAACCCGAGGGACGCCTTAGTGCACGGAGGCTGCTGCAGGCGAGAGGGTTTGCCTTCCCGCGATGACTAAGGCTGAATGGCGCCCTTCAAAGGCAATCCCGGCTGTTCCGCCAGAGGAAAAGCCCGCGGGGGGATCTCCGCCAGGATCCCCCCCTCCCACAGAGCCGCCCCCGCGCCGGCCTTTGGCGCGGCTCGGAGAACCGGCCTCTCCTCCCGGGCACTCAGGCCGGAGCCGGCCCCCGCTGCCCCGTTCCCGCCCTTCGGGGGGCTCCTCTCTGCTTCAGTTCAGCGCCAGCCGCGCTGCCCGTGGCCAGAGAAGGGCCCGGGGTGGGGGGAGCGCGGGGCGGGGCGGGGCCCCCTGCGGCCCTGCCCTCGTCGCGGCTCCGGAGGCCCTTCCTCGCCTCGCAGCCGAGCGGAGCCAAAGGGCTGGAGGGAAGCCCAGCCGGGCGCACCTGGCCCTGCAGCAGCCCAGAGCCGGCCCCGCAGGGCAGCTGCCGCGGGGCCCACGCGATCTCGGCCCACGGAGGGAGCCCCCGCAGGACGCCGTCTTTCCCGGCCTGAGAGCCTTCTCGGGTGGGGAGCGGGTTGGCCCCTGGGCCCCGCCAGCCCCGGGAGCAGAAGGGCCGGAAGGAGCCGCGGAGCCCCGCAAATTGCCAGGCCGCCCCCGCGCCACGACCAACTGGCCTCAGACGCGGCCGCGCTCCCGCCCGCCGTGCACGCGGCCCCCAGGCGGCCCCGCCGGCAGGGGGCGCCGCTCCGCAGGGCCGTTCGGAGCCGGCGGGGGGGGGGGCCGAGAGGAGCTGCTGCCGGCGGGAGCCCCCTGGCGGTTGCCGAGCGAGGCGGCGGAGGCCGAGGGGCCCGCCAGGCCCTCAAGTCTTTGCGTCTGGCCCTCGGGAGCACCGCGGCCTAAGTGCCCCCCTTCTCCTCCAGCGCCACCGCCGGTCCCTTCCGCCGCTCTGGGGGGGGGGTCTCGTCCCCCCCCCGGGTCCCTGGGCTCCCGGCCTGCCTTGGGGGCCGAGCGGGGCGGGGTGCCAATCCTGCGCCCTCTTCGGGAGTCTCGGTGTTGATATGGCCGTAAACAGCCCTTCTGAAGGCCTGGACCTGGTCCTCGACTTAACGACCGTTTTTCTCAGCGGCCGTTTGAAGTTGCAACGCCTCTGCGGCCCCGGTTGGGATGCGGGGGAGGCTCGACCGCTGCTCCCTGTGGGATCGTGTGGTGGCCCACTGCTCTCCTCCCTGCCCTAGAAAGTCAAGTCAGCCTCTGAAAAATTTCTCCTGAAAATCCTGTTTGGGTTTCAGCCTCAGTGGCGAGATTTGCCTCTGTGGAGGCAAAAGTGGGGCCTCCCCCTCCCTGCTTGGGGCACCCTGCACGCTTTCCTTGGGACGAAAGTGCCTCCCCACAGCTGGAAGTGCTGGCATTGCAGTTGTTCAGCAAAGCCTTTTCGTGATGTCTCACTTAACAACCATTTGAATGACTGAGGTTCCAGCTATGGTCATAAATTCACCACTAGCACAAGTAAGATACTTAACAAGCAATTTCCAAAAGTATTTAAAAATAGAGACTTGCAGACTTAATTGTCTTTTAAAACTGCACCAGTTGCAAGGAAGATGGCAGGTTCCATAATCTTCCTGTGCCCAAAGCCATGGAAAACGGCTGCCCTGCAGTCTCCTGGCAGGGAGCAGCTTTCCTGGGCAATCTCCCATCCTCTCCTTATCTAAAGAGGTGCCAGGGAGTTGGTCTACTCGCAGATTCTTGGTCTTTGCGGCTCCATTTCACAGAGCTGTCTTCAGCTGACCATAACTCCCCAGCATGTCTCTACTTTGATCCATTTTATCCAGGAAGAGACTGGACCTGCATCCACTTCAGATTCCAGGGAAACATGGTGAGGTCAGGAGGGCCAGCTTTCCAGACTGGAATGCCCTCTCCGCAGAACGAGGCAGGCTTAGAAAGCACCCGAGGGGAGCAGCACTGGAGGGATTGGGTTAATCTGTAGAAACAAGGGAAGTCTTTCTTTTTCGGTTATTTAATAAAATTAAATTGTTTCTGTATTAACCAAGTGTTCCTGCCATCCACTTTCCCCCATACCACCAAGTGACCCTAAGGGGCCTATTCATTTCTAAATCAGAAAAGTAGCAGAAGAAAAGAATAATAAAAGAAAAGGCTGCCAGAAGACATGACAAGCGGTTGAAAACTTCCCTCCAGCCAGGCAGTCGGCAAAACCTCCCATCTAGTCGAGCCTGAATAATCCTGGAGCCGTGAGGTTTGTCTCCCGCACAGGAGACTCCCAATCTCAGGCACTGAGACAAGCCTCAATTGGCCGCTCAGTGTTCCCTGCCTTTTGCTTCAAAATAACTCGGCCGTCCAGTCTCGTCCACATTCTGTGCTGCTTTGGGACTGTGTCAAAGGCCTGCAGTGTTTACACAGAGCGCTTCCGTTCTCAGGGTTTGTCTCTTTCTCTAAAAATGCTGGACAATGAAGCAGCAATCCAAAGTGGATCTCCCCACTCCATCCTTCCTGTATCTTCAGCTATGAATTTCTTTTGTTTTATCAAGTTTATGAGTTTTCATAGCAACAACAATAATAACAATAACAACAACCTTTTATTGTCATTATACACATGTACAACAAAATTTATTTTTGCTTCTGCTGGTGCTATCTATAACAAAAGTACAATATAACATGAATAATATAGAAAGTGGTCATTATACAAGTAATTGGGGAGAAACCAGTCATATCTTTCCATGTATGCATGGAATGATTGTAGTCTGACAGCCCATGGATAAAAGCTGTTTTTAAACCTGTTTGTCCGGCTGGCTATGCTTCTGGCTATGCTTCTGGCTCTGCTTTGATGGTAAAAATGAGAAAAGACACTGACCAAGGTGTGAATCGTCCCGAAGTATCTTCCTTACTCTGCTGGAGCAAAGAGACCTGGCAATCCTGCATTGTCCAGATTTCAAACTAATTATGGCAATAAATCTTGACTAGAATCATTTCGTCCCGTTCCTTCCTTCCTTCCATAGGAAGAGAGATCCATTTGGTTCAGTTTCAAGCTAGGAGAAAGACTGGAAACATGGAGGCTGATTGGAAAGAAAGTTTAATGATGAACGGAACCAACAGCAGTCCTGAGTCAGCTGATAAAATGGAGTTGAGAGTGCAGGTTCTTTTATACCTTCTTTGGGCTTTATATTTGAGCTTCCTGTTCCTGTGCAAGAACATGTCCTTTAATATTCTATTGGCTGTTGTCAGATTCCTATGGGGTCAGGTAGGGGTCATAGCTGACTATAGGCAAAAGAGGAAATGCAAATCCTAGGTGCTTATCTGAGCTAATCTAGTCAACCTCTGGCTTATTGTTTATCTGAGCTTCCAGGTGAAGTTTGGACTGCTTTGGAGGTAATGCAATGAAGGCGCTTGTGTTCTGAAAGGGCTTCGGCAATTCCTAGTGTCCCTCATGACTTTCCTCCTGTGTTGGGTCTTGGGTGAAGGGTTGCTTCTAATACTATTACTCTGCTTTTGTTACTATCAAATTTTGCTGCAAGCAGTTTCAAAATATCCTGTCTTGAATGAATTTCTGCTTGCAGTATTTGCCTATGAATAGAGCCATCTATATAGTTGGCTTCTTTTTTCAATAAGCTCTTTATCTCCTTACATGCTGACATCTGCTGTGCGCTATTAGGAAAAACTGGGGGCTGCTTTCTGCCTCTAAACACATTTCTCCATTTCTCCCTTTGGGGAAATACAGTATAATATCTTGCCTTTTTAATATTCCTCAAAATATTTCATTCTTCTAGGAAGGGGAGCTTCCCACATTTCCTTCCTTCCTTTAAATTCTAGACCAGGGCTGTCAAAATTCCAGGCCATGGGACGGATGCGTGATGCGCTCGCCACACCCACACCTGGTTTACTGAAGAGGGGGAAAGTCCCGATAGGTCACGTGACACCGCCGTGATGATGTGGGTTTGGCACCCCTGTTCTAGACCTTCCTGTCATTTCCAATTAATGAAATCTTGGCTGTCCTGTCCCTCAGATTGGGAGTTGTCTCATCCGCATATACAAAGCAGCCCTGTTTAGCCCTTTTCCCAAGGGACCACATAAGAAACTGGGACTGTTGCGGAGGGCCGCCTCCCTTGGTCCCCATAGCTGGCTGGTCAGGGAAAGGGCTGGATGTGGCCTGCAGGATGTAAAATGCCCAAGTTTGGCTTAGCCTAAGAGCTCAGCTTTGGTCCCTGTTTTCTCCTTTTCGGTTCTGGAAATCACTAAGCGATGTACTCAGAAGTTGCAAAGTCACACGACCACGTTGATTTACAATAGCAGTTACAGCAGCCCCAGTTGCCATCCTTAGGCAAACCCCGTTGCAACCATGTGACCACCATTTGCAGTTCCCCGCTGGCTTGCTGGAAGCCAGTGGTGAAAATCACAGGATTGTGGGACACTGCGAACCCTGTGATTGCAAGCCAATTGCCCAGACCCTGAATCATGATCAATCATGATCAGCAACGCTGCAACAGCTGCCAACTCCAGAACCTGCCACGTGTGCCAAACTTTCAGCACCGCTGCTACTTCAAATGGCCACTGAATGAGCCCTGAATTAAGCAAGGACCATCATCAGTGTAAGAGAGCTCCTTGGTGCAAGTGGGAATGGCCCCTAGATTTTAAAGAATGGCTCCAAGATATGAGGTGCTACTTAGTTTTGAAGAGTCTTTGTGACCCGTTTTTGTGATAAAAGTGACGAGATATTTCTGCTGCTGCAATGGGGCTCAGGCTTAATTAACAGAATAAAGAGTTGGAGGGAACCCTGGAGGTCCAATCCCCTGCTTGAGCAGCAAACCCTATTTATTAGCTAGTTCTATCTATCTATCTATTTACCTACCTACCTAATTATATATATATCTGTCTGTCAGTCTAACTATATCTATCATCTATGTAATCTATCTACATGCCTACATTCCTACCATTCAAAAAGAGACAATGAAAAAGCCAAAAAGCAAACGAAAAGACCGCAATACCTCCTCACTAGCAATCAACACCCAGAGAACTCTTCAACTTCATAAACAATTTAGATGAGGGAATAGCATGGACTTTGCAGACGACTCTAAACTGGCAAGAATAGCAAATACCTCAGAAGACAAGCTCAAAGTCCAAAAAGATCTTGACAAACTTGAACACTAGGCCTAATCCATCAAAATGTGATTGACTGGTGGGAAAAGTAAGGTTTTACACTTAGGCAGGAAAAACCAAAGCCACTGAATAGGTTGGTTCACCTGGTTCAACAGTAGTGACTGAGAGAGAGAGAAAGAGAGAGGTGTTCTCTCTAATGGGCACCCACTTAGATATGAGCCCACCGTGTGCTGCAGCTGCCAAAAAAGCCAACGCAGTCCTAGGCTGCATCCACAGAGAGAGAGAGCATCAAGGTCACATAATAAAGTGATAATAGTGCTTTAGTTTATACTACACTGGTAAGACCACACTTCTGGCCACCACCATACAAAAACAATGGTGAGAGTCGAGAAAGAATGCAAAGAAGAGCCACAAAGGAGATTAGGGGGTCGGAGGCTAAAACATAGGATGGACGGGTGCAGGAACGGAGTACGGTCTAATGAAAAGGTGACATGATAGCAGTCTTCCCACCTATCCTGCACAGCACCTGAGGGCAAGGTAAGAACTAGTGGATGAGAACTTACCAAGGGGACAGTCATAGATACATAGAATTAAAGAGAAATTTCCTGTCAGGGAGATCCATCGGGGGAGTAGCTTGTCTCTAGAAGTTACGGGCGTTCCATCACTGGAGACGAGATCCTTCTAAATGGCTCAGGGTCTCCTGCTTGTGCAGGGAGTTGGCCTAGAACACTTCCAAGGTCCCTTCCAACTCTGTTGTTCCGTGTTCTGGAACCCCTCCACTTCCAGTCCAACTGATGAAGCAGCCCAGCGGGGTCCCTGCATGGCTGGAGGTAGGCGAGGGGCAATGGGGAGCCCCACAAGGGAGGCCCCGACAGCAAAAGGAGGAAGAGAGCCTCCCACTGAGCAGCCCCACCAGCATCCTGAAAGGGCCCCCACTAAGACAGAGCAGGAGAGGCACCCCAGGAGGCCTCGAGGCATCTTCCATCTTCTGCTTGGCTGATATTTTATGGTAAGAGAGAGAAAAAAAAGACGGAAGAAGCTGCAGACGGCAGGAGCCATTACAGAGGCTGCCAGGCAGGGCTGAGAGCCGATTCCGGTGGAAGTTCAGGGAAACTTCACTCAACCGCGAGGAAGCAGTTCAACCAGGGACTCAGCCAGGGATGGGGTGGGCTCGTTTAGCAAAGGCTGGGTAGGGACAGAATGCTTTGACTGGATCCTGCACTTCACAGGCGGAGGGAGGGAGGGAGGGAGGGAGGGAGGGAGGGAAGATGTTGTAGGACTTGAAGGAGTAATAGAAACTGGAAATAATGCAACGTAGGATCAAGTACAATTGATGAAGCAGGGAGGATTCCTCCTGAACCATCTGAGCCGTCTGTTTTATGCAGAAACGAATTGGGGCTCACCGAGGCCAGGATGGGCACCAGACGAGTAATCTGTAACCGGAGCCCAGGAACCGCCCCCCCCCCTCGTGCTTTCCTCCCTGACAGCTGTACTACGGATGGGGTTGACTGGAAGGCTGCTGCTGCTGCTGCTGCTGCTGCTGCTGAAAGGGCCTCCAGGCTCCAGGATGCAAATCCCATGGTTGCCTCCGGAAGAGCCTCTGCCACGCTTGGGAAATCAGCCGAGACCCAATGACCCTCCCCCTCCCCCAGATTTTCCAAAAGGCTGGGCAAGCGCTGTGTCATTCCCTCCTTCAGTCGCGCTGGAAAAGTTGACAAGGAATTCTGTGATTATAATTTGGCTTCCTATGACTACTAAGGAACCATGGAAACCACACAAATCTGCACTGGGGTTTTCCTCCTAATGTTGGAATCATTTTTTCAAGGAAACCCAACTCAAAGTGCAGCTGACAATTCAGGGGGTGACTGACAGGTCCCAGGGGAGCTTCCAGCTGTGGCATTAAAGGTACTCATTAACCAGTCCGGAAACCTGTGGCATCTGGCTGTGCATGGGGGGGGTTGGGGGGGTTCCTGTTCTTTCCATCTGTATGACCTTTGACACCACTGACTTCTGGACCAGCTTAGGGGACTGGAAGGAGAGGCATATAGACGGTTGGTGGTGCTCCTTTCTCCAGCGTGGTTCGTTAGTGTTGTTCAGTGTGTGTTGTGTATGTGTGTGGAGAGAGAGAAAGGGGGGGAGAGAGGGAGGGAGAGGGAGAGCGGGAGTCGTATATGGGGCAGGCAGGGCATGTGTGCAAAAGCTCTCAGAGAGCAACCAAGTCCCACCCTCCTTTGGGGGGCCCCAAAGGCCAGCGCCCAAAGAAGGGAGAGGAGCAGTCAGCTCATGGCCCAGAAGTCCCAGAGCCCAATCAGAGTCACCGGCCACACACCCAGTTCCGGCAGGCAGGAGGTTCTTCCCAGCAGAGACAGGAATGCCAGTCCCTGCCCTGCTCTGCCCTCTGAGGCTGGGATCCGTTCCCCTCTCTTCTGCTGCCTCCCTGTAGAAACAGAGAACTAGAACTGGCCATCCTTGAGGAAGAGATCAGATGGGCGATGAACCGACTGCCAAACGACAAGACTCCAGGGGTTGACATCATTGCTGCAGAATTACCGAGACCCCTAAACCCTTGCAGTCAGTAGAGATCTATGCCAGAAAATCTGGGAAACCAACACATACGGCCACAGGATTGGAAATGCCCAGTGTTCATTCCACTGCCAAAAAAGGCCGACGCTAAAGATTGCTCCACATGGCCTGGGACCATATTGCAAATCTGTGCTGGTCATGGAAAAATCTGGTGAAATAAATTTTACCAATGGTGGGAACAGAAAGGAGGGACCCAGAACAAAAAATGAATAGGATTTGTAGAATGGATAATTGAGGTTATGTAA